ATTAGGGTTTTATTTGTGACCTTGAGAAAATAGGTTTTTTTGTTTCCTTGATACAAAACAAAACTGGGGGGAGAAGGCCACTGCAGCGCCAGATCAAAAACCCATGGAAAGGCTGAGGAGGCAACTGATCTGGGTCGAGCAATCTGCTGATTGTGTTGACCTTCTGACTGGTAATTACATCTTGAAGAGTAAGTAGGAATGAGTATTTGCTGTATGTAAACAATTGCAGTAGATGTCAGTTGTCTCATCTTCCCTGGTAATCTCGGTGATCATCTAATACAGTCTTAAACAGTTTGTGGAGGACTTTAAAATACAATAGGTGTGCTCATCTGGGTTTACATTAGCATTTAATCACAGGATATGTTGCTAATGCTCAGGTGTCATCAAAAAAGAAGCAAACTGTAGGAAGAGATAATATATCTGTTTTCTCTCTCTTCCTTATCAGTATGAATATAGAGATATAGATACGGATATATGGTATATCGATACTCCAGATGTATACACACTAAAGGCCACATCTTCATGGACAAGCATGAGTACTAGTGATTCAAGCACACTGGCTACTCATGAGAGTTTAGAAGATGTGTGCTTCTGATTACTCGGTACTGCATGCAAAAGAGTATGGTTCCTTGAAAGGCTGCCATAAAATAAAGCTCAACCAAGCTATGTAACTGTTTGTATGATTTTCTAAATGCTCTAATAATCCCTCTGCTTCTTCAAACTGTGTCTTCATTAGGGCTTGGGCAAAATTTAATGATACAAATTCTGAGTCATATATAGACTTGCCAATTTGCATTAATAGCTTGAAGAATCATTGAGAGCTACTCATTTTCTCAAATTAGCAAGTAAATCAGTGAATATAGTAGAAAGAATGGAGTATGAAATGTACTCTGTTTGTTTAGCATTAATTTCTGAGGATAACTTTATACGATAGCAGTAAACATGTTGTAGTATACATTTGTAAGGAGAATGAAATCTGAGTACTCTGTCCTCACTACAAATTCTCTGATGAAATCATTGTTTGAAAATGAATATTATATATCAGTACAAAATTAATTTCTATTTTTCAGATGATGCACAAAATCTAAACATACAGATGTAACATAATTACGCAGCTGGGCTTTCAGAAGAAGCAAAACAAAGTGCATTTCTCCTTTTCCAGGTCACATTTATATTCCATAGTCAGTATTTTTACTTTAATTCTGGGCTGTGTTTCTACAATATGGGATCATAAGCTGAAGGAAAGTTTATTGAAACAAAGATTCCCCACCACTGGCCCAGTAAACCCTCTGTATCCTATTCCACATGCTAAAACAAAGAGAGGAGAGGTTCGTCTCCTTTGCAATATGTCCATGGAGAATCATTAACCAGAATGTCATGGGTTCACTAGAAGACACTTTGGGGTAGCGCAACAAAAGTTTAGGGAAAACATGTTTTCTTCAGTTTGCAGAGGTCTGGGATCTTGAGCTTTGAAATACCTCTAGGAGCAGAACAGAGAAACCAAGTATTGGTGTGTAGCTCTTTGAAGCTAAAAGATGAGAAACTGGGAAGGGGGTTTTATATTAAGAGAAGTAAAGGAAACGAAGGGAGGGGTGTGCTTTGTTGTGGGCATTTCCATTTAACTGCAGAACTGACTGAGAGAGACAGAAACTTGCTGTATTAGGACACAGACACACAGGTAGAAACTATGCAAGATAGGAGGAGGCATGGAAGTCCTGGGGTCCAGTGGACAAGCGAGAAGGGAAGAGCTCCAGCTGGGCTAGCAGGTAATCCCACTGGGTAGGTCTCTGCCAAGGAGAGCAGTAATACTGGGAATCCTAAAATAGAAGTTTTCTGGCCAAGAGGCAGAAGCGTTGAGGTCAGGAACACTGCAGTTAGAAGCTCTGAAACTAGTTCTTCACTGAGAAAGCAGACTTCACCCTGCCAGCAGAAAAAAATGAGGCTTGACCTCGCCAAGGGGAGAAATTCAGGAGAAGCTTTTTCAGCTTGTCTGGTATAGGCAGTTTTGCACATAGACCTTGGCATGCTGATGCTATTTCCAAAATAAGCCAGATTTTAAGAAAATATATAGATAGTTTCACACTATAAAGCTTGAAGGAAAAAAAAAAAAGCTATGATTTTATGTGCAAGAATTTCCTTACCCCCAGTTGCTGTATTTTCAGATATGAGCAGGGCACGTGAGGAGGATTTCCTTGATATAATGGGCACTCTTCTGGATTTCTGGGTGGAAAAGCATTTAGTACTTCTTGGTACTAAATGGTCACGAAGTCCTATATGTATTGTTTGTAGTCTCCTAATCCAGGATTTATTGTCCTGATCCTGTTCCAGAAGTAGTGACTTGAGTTGATTTAAAAAAATAAGATTTTTTCAAAGCTTTTAAGCAAATTGATTTACTCTGGCTTGAAATTTCTCATATTCCCCAAGTTTTTGTTAGTCTGTGTGATCCTTGTATTCATCTATATAATATTCAGTGCTAGAAGGATTTTACAAGTGGTACATATTGCCATTAAAAACCTGCTACATTAGGCTTTAATATTAAAATACTGATGATGCAGGTGGAAAATTACTATTAGTTATACCTAATAGATTGCCATTTTGTTTCTTTCCGGAGTGGGAAGGAAAACCAAAACAGTGAGCCAACCCAGTTACCTGCAGTTTTCGCTGTGCTATTCTGTACAAGTGCAAGGGAAAAGAAACCAATCTGTTCATAATTCCCCCTGCCAGCTCCATCCCTCTGCCTGGCAACCTCCTGCACTTCTGTGCCTTCCTAATTACACAGCGTTCTTTCCTTTTACTCTGCGGCAGGATCTCTTATCTGCCCCTGTTAAAAGGTTGTCTGAGGAGCAGCCAGGAGGCCAGCACACCCCTGGACTCACCGGTCCACCAGCCCCAGGGTGGACGTGGAGGAGGCTGGCTTGTTTGCATGATTTGGGCTGCCAGTTTGCTGCCTGGTTCTAGCAGCGATCCGGGAGGAGGGAAGCTGCCTGGCAAAATGCAAAGCAGACTGACCTTACTGTTAAGAGGCTTTTCTTGATGTCCAACCTGGATTTTCTCTCCAGCAACCTTAGTAAATGATGTACTTTTCTATTTGGTTTGGTCATCATGAATATGCAGAACAGACCTTTACCCTCCTCTTTAAAAGACTGTTATCTTGTTTTTCTTCAGTTTTCCCTTTCCCGACAGAACACCACCAATTACTAGTATTTTCTCAAAGAAATATAGCTTCCCCAGGGAGATATATTTTTACACCAGTGCAACAATTGCCTTTATTACAGCAGAATGAGCTCATTGACCAGTGGCCCTCTGGTAGACCACTGTGACCTTCAGGTCCTTTTCGGCAGAATTCTTCTCTAGAGCGTCTTTCCCCATTTGGATAGTTTGTTTTTCCTGCAACAGTGGAGAAACTTGTATTTGTCGTTATTAAATTACATTTCCAGCTTTTTTCTCCAGGGTAACAGGAACCTTTCAGATTGTGATCCTGTTGTGTGGTGTACTTGCACACCATCTTGTTCATGCTGTCTGTAACTGTAATAAGAGCACTCTATTCCATCCTTCAAGTCATTACTGAGAATATTGGATAATACCTGCCAAAGGCAGAGCCCTGTGCAAAGCCACTCAAAATACATCTGACAGTTTTGGCATTGACCTGCTGTTAACTATTCTGTGAGTGCCATTCTTTAATTGTATGACCGAAGATTGTTGATGGAAGTGCCAGAATATTATGCAAAGCGGTATTAAAAGACTTGCTACAACATATATGACATAAATCATATGACATACACAACATGAAAGACATTTATTGCCTGGGCAATCTTCTACATTTGTAAATGCAGAATGGGGTTGTAAAGACGTCGGTTCTACAATCAGCTGTATTATCTAGTGACTGAAAAATGAGATTTCATTTCATTAGGAAATTACTGGAATGTTTCCACAGCAAGTGTGCTAGAAGGAATAACGTTGGCTTCTCTGAAACAAGGTTCTTTCTTTTCACAGTATTTGCTTTAATTCTGATGGCTTTTGTAAATGCACAAGCTTATCGTTTGTTGTGACAGCATGCAAGATAAAAAAAAAAAAAATTGCATGTTTGCAGTCTGGTTTATAGTTCACGTTCTTGCTAAAAGTGCCATTCCAAGACAGAAGAATGTTTTTGGAAGTATAGGTGATTATGTCCTCTTATGTTATGTGGTACTCTACAGAATATTAAAGAATTTTCTAGGCCTTTTTGACAATCTTAAAATCTCTCAGAAGAAAGTTATTAATCAGGTAGATAGATCACTTCCATGCCTTTCTTTCATTAGGATTTTGTAGCTAAATAATTAAAATTGTTTGCATTAAAGCATTTTAATGGGAAGAAGGGACTTATTGCCTGCAGTTTGATTGACTTAGAAGATTTTTTAAAAATCACTGTGTCACGTGGAGCAGATTCTTTTAAGGACTCTAGGACGTTTTAATGACTGTTTATAATTAAATGAGCTTACTGTGTGGTCAGAAATGCAGTTGTTACTTCGCAAGGTTGAGTTCCTTTGTGTTTGATGATTTGCAATGTTTTATATATTACAAAATTTTATGTAGTATGTCAAGCCTTCGCCGTCTCTACTCAGCTTGTCATGAAGCATGGACTTTATGGTCTCCCGGGAATGATGTCTTTGGTTAAGTTAATGTAATAAATGCAGGAAACTCTTGTTTTCCTGTCAGCTTTCATAAAACTTTATTGCCAGTTCTACAGTCCCTGAGCATTCTCACCAAGGAATAGCTGTATTAATAATTAGTCTATTGCTTCCCTAAAATATGTGTCAAAAGAAAGTGAGTGTGAAAGCATGTTAGAGTTTTGTGGGTTTAAATAGCATTAAACATTGCCATATTAAGTTAAAAAATATGAAGTTGTTCTACTTACATACTTAAAATATTTCACTTAAAAAAGCACAGTTGCATTAGGGGGTTCATTATTGTTGGTGTATTCAGTTTCCTCATTAGAATATTTTCTCGTGTGTTCTTCCTAGAATGGCTTTACTCCTTTATATATGGCAGCTCAAGAGAACCACATTGAAGTGGTGAAATATCTCCTGGAGAATGGAGCTAACCAAAGCACAGCTACTGAGGTGACGTATATTATTCTTTTTTTACACACACTCTTGTTTTCCTGTGCCTTTATATTCAGATCGCTTAAAGTCAGAAGGCTTTTCAAATGGAGTATTTTTAGAACTTTCACACTTTCATTTCAATGAGTTGTATTTATGAATCTTACCCTTTTTTTCTACGCATGTGGAAGGCAAGGGTGGACTGTTCTGGAAGTGGTGAAAAGGGGTGAAATCCAGTCTGATTCATTTGACAGAAAAATTTCTGCTGACTTTAGTAAGCCTGGGATTTTTACCTTCAATTTCTGCCCATTTCTTCTATCAGCTTCCTGGAGAATTTTCTGAAAAATGACTGAGGCTTTGAAAAGAGGTACCTAGGGTTATAGAAATTACAGGAGGCCAAGGTGGTACTGTCAGGGGAATGGAGTGAATAGAAGATTGATCATAGGCTAAGTGGAGAGGTACAACATTTCGTTTGAACAGATTTACGTTTCCGACAAAGTCCGTGAAAACTCAAGCATCTAGGAGTGCCATCACCTAAGCAACAGGGCTGTCTTTGTGCTGCTTTTTCATTTTCACTGTAAGATCGGGACAAAATCGGTGAATACAATATTACAGCATGTATCTCCCACTCTTGGCTGTATAAGGGCTCTTCTGGGGAAGATAGTTTGGAGGCTTGCTTCAGCTTCTTCCTCAGCCAGCTGAAAAGTGTGTGGAACATAACATGAATACCACAATTAGGGCTATGAGGACTGTGGTATAGAAACAATTAATATCAACAGTTAGTTGTTGAAAAGCTTCCTTTTAGATCAGGTCTTGAGACTTTAGATGAGTTCAGAATATTTTCTGCGCAGAGAGAGTGAGAAACAGGCATGTGGATGCACCGAAGTGATGAGTGGAGTAGGCTCTCTGCAGTGCTGGGTTCACAGAACCACTCAGGTAGAACCGGGCCTCAGGAGGTCACTTACTCCAACCTCCTGCTCCTGTTCCCCTAAGTGAGGAGTGATGGCAGCTGGACCTCCTTGACCAGCTAAGTTACTCTGATTCTGAGGCTAGTCTGTGACTTTCTGTAACCTATGAATATTCATTATTGTCTGTGATTAGTGTAAATTGGAAATCAAATGACTAACAGGGACCACATCAATGAGCTCAGCAGGCAGTTTTCTCCTCGGACACTTTATTTCTACTGCTGGACCGCGTGGATGTAACTATGCAGAAGGATGGTATTAATTGCTGGGTTCTGTATTTAACTGCAGTGCTGTTAGCCTGCAGTAAGTTCAGTGCAAGCAGGGCAGACACCAAAGTAAGAGAGACGAGACCCCATCTCAAGAGAAACTGAATCATAAGAACTTACTTCTGCAAATGAGAGGATTTGAGGGCAGTGGGGAAAACTTCTGGGCCATGAGGACTGCGCTCATTCCATTTCTTTCTCTTGTTCTCTTTCTGCCAAGTGTTCTTTTATTCCAAGCCAAGGGGACGAGTGAACAGGCTCTGTGCTGCAAGTGTGGTGGCTTCACGTTTGTTCTATGGATATGGATGTGCCATGGAAGTAGGAATAGGAAAGTTCCTCTCCTCTCAGAGCTTTTGTTCATGTTTACTACTTTTCCCTAGTCTGTAGAGAAACTTACCCATTCTCGATTGCCTTCACAAACGGATGAAAATGATGGTGCATTTATGCTTGCTGTCCTGTCTTTATATTGAACTGCTAGTGTTAACAGCTGCTTTACTGTCCCTTCTTTCAATGGATACTGTACCATTTGATGACAACTCCTAAAATAATCCTCTTGTGGCCCGCATATATGGCGATCATGTTACATGTCAGCTTTCTGAAGCATGAAATCCTGTGTGATTGCCAGGCAACGTGGCAGAAACACACTCCTGGCAAAGCAGCCGAGTGGAACTGTGGCTCTTCAGGAGCCTGGCCCAGCTATAGCCCACAGTCACCTGCTTGCAGCCTTTCCCCGGTAACTTTCACTGGCTGGAACTCATGCTATAGTCTGGTGGGGTTTTTTTTTTAAAAAAACCCAGGCATTGGGGAGAAAAAAAATCAAATGCCCTCCACTCTGGACCCAAGTCCATGTCTGTCTTCTGCCATCAGAAAGGTCAGTTCTCACTTCTGTAGCTTAGAAAGTAAAGGCTGTCTACCCCCTTATCGCTTAACTAGATAAGTTTTGGTTTCAGGTCTTGCTGAGGTGATGGTTTCAGTGATTCAAGTGTTACTGAAGGATGGCCTGAGCCATTGTCCGCTTTCACACAGGCTCAGAGTTAGTCTCATGCACAGGATGAAGGAATGGTACCTTAAATAAGGTGGGATGGCAGCCTGAACTGAGGATGCCACAGAAGAACGTGGAGAAGGACATTTTGTTTGGCATTACAAACTGGCTGTCCTCATGTGGGGAGGTGGGGAAATGAAGTGCTTTCACCGAGCTCTGGTCAGCCATGCTTGCCAGAAGCAATAGGAGAGGGAATGCAGAAAGTTTGTCCTTTTAGAGAAGGAGAGAAGATAAAGTGGTGCAAATCAAATGGATGATCTTGCCTTTGAAGCTTTGAAACTTGCTCTGCCTTTCGATAGATTTAATTTCCTCTAACGCTTATATGCGTATATATACAAAATGAGAGTAAGGATGAGCTCAGTTTCACAGGACCTCTAATCCAGGATTTGTTCTCATGTTCCCAGAGGCGAAAGGCAAATGCATTAAGCCATTTCAACACCTAATGTAGCCCCAATCTCAGAATTATCTTTACAGTTCAGCTGTTTCATCAGCTGTTCCCCCTTTTTTAATTCACTGTACAGAATTTAATCTCTATTACAAAAAGAAACTGTAGTAGTATCGCTGTTACAATGCACCTACCCACAGTTCTACGCAAAAGGGAGTGAGTGTTATTAGATTACTAAGGGGAAAAATTGCTTTGGCAATTCTTCAGATGTTTCTTTCAGCATGTGTTAGCTCTCATTCCTTCCTAACTTGTCCCTTATTATTTTATAATCTTTCCATATTCCTATTCCAAATCAATTCTGTCTCTTTCCCAAGCCTTTTATGATGTATCTAAATCAGTTTACTCACTTTCTGGCTATAATCAACTCTTTAGTTGTTCCTTTTGACCTAAACATAGAAGACCTTGGTTTATTCCCTTCCCTTTTCTTTCATGGTTGTTCACCATGCCTCCGGTCACAGACTCAGAGAGCTGCTTCGTTCCTTGTGGTTCAGCTGCCCTTGGATCTAGGATGTGGTTACAGCACATATGTGCTTGGCAGCGTGCAAGACTGGAGCTGGATTCAGTTTTATGGTCAGAATAAAAGATACAGGAGCAGGCAGTGCTTCAGCTAAGAGAGCCAGTTGTGGTTGTGCGATGTATTTTGAAGCACTGGCAATCCAGGACATGTGTGGAGGAGCAAGACAATTTGAAAATAATTTTAAAACAAAGCAAAAACTATGAATGAAAAGCAGAGAGATGTTTCTGACTTTTTTTTTCCAAGAAGTACACATAAACTTAATTTTTCCCACTTCAAATTAGAATAAATTCCTAAACATGATGTGGTTTTCTTGACTCATAGTCCGTGTGTAACTTAGGATGGGAAACAGCCGCAAATGCATGCGAAGATATGCTTGCTTTTTGCAAAGATGTGAGATATTCAGAAACAGGTTCCCTGTATATTTCTCATATCTGCTTTGTTCAGTGCTCACTAATCCGTACCAAAATATTACTAAGAATATGCTTTGTGACCCATTTTAAAATGAGAAGTTATTAAGAGAGTTAGTGTAGAATGATGCTACAGTTGTATTTGACTTAAAGACTACTTTGAAGTGGAAAAAGTGTGCTTCTGACACGTCTGAAATCATATCTAGGTTAAAATGTTGTGCCTCCGATGTCCTTTCACTGGAGACAGTGGTGCAGAGGTAGAAAACAGCGGGTAATGTGTTTATCAACTCTCTATGTGTGAGCAGTGCAAATCACTGAAGCTCTATGTCCTTTGGCTTACCAAGCACACCTTGTTTTCTTCTCTACCAGGACGGTTTCACTCCTCTAGCTGTTGCACTGCAACAAGGACACAACCAGGCGGTGGCCATCCTCCTGGAGAATGATACCAAGGGGAAAGTGAGGTTACCAGCTCTGCATATTGCCGCTAGAAAAGACGACACCAAATCAGCGGCGCTCTTGCTGCAGAACGACCATAATGCTGATGTGCAGTCCAAGGTAACGTGGTGCTGCCGTAGAGGTAACAGGGTAGTCACGCGGCTGAGTGCCGATGGGCAACAAACTTTACTTGCTTTATCTTAACAGTTAAAGGTAATTTCTTCTTTGGGGAAAGTTGCTCAACCAGTATCACCAGTAATATATCTACTTTTGCCGTGTTTAGCTACACAGCAATTACAAACTACTTATTTTTCTGCTTTTTGGTTATACCTTCCATTTCTTTGGTAACCAGCTTTCTCTCATTATTTGTAAACTCCAAGACACTGGAATGGAAGCAGAATCACTGCTTCCCTATTAAATAGGATACTGGTTTATTGCCCATGGGAACATAGGTTGAATTTAAAGTTAATGCATGCTCGGTTGGCTTTTCCCATCATTAACAGCATAACTCATTTCAAAAAGCAACATAGTTCTTTGTTTTGCGGCCAGTCTTTAATATTGTTCCTCTTTTTCCCAAACCATGCTGCATCAGATGATGGTGAATAGGACGACTGAGGTACCGAGATAAAAAATTTTTCATTACTCTTTCTGTTACTTATAATTATTTTCTCTGCTCTGTGGCAATATTTCATAATTATTTAGCACTAAAAGTGAAGATATGACCCTTTTTTAATACACAGGCATTCGTGACTCAGCAAATCTATTTTTATTCATCGTTTGTCTTAGAATTTCTTTTTATTTGTGTCACTATTGAAGTAAACTTTTGAGAATTCATATCAGTTCAAAGAAGTCTGAAGCGAGTGGTGGAGCTAAGAGGACAAAGATGCTTTTCTAGCTCAATTTCATTAATTATGAAAATGCACTCACTTGGCCTAACTAAATTAAGGTGTCTGGTTCAGCCAGAATAATGGGTAAAATTCATTTTCCTTCTTTTTACAATAATCAAATCTTCCAAGGTAAAAACTTGTTCAGAGCAGCATCTGCTTATTTATACCATTGTTGTCATTAAGGTCTTTTCAATAAAGTTTTGAAAAGTCCTTAAGGGATAGCACATAATCAGAATTTACCTGCAGCAGATAATACTACATTTCTCATACAGATTCTGGAAATACCAGCTCTTCAAGCACTACCACTAAAAATCATGGGTCTGATTGGCTAGAACTGCGGTATCTCCCCTAAAGATTATTGTCACATTTAGGAAAAAGAATTCTTTCCAAGACTGTGGTCATTCTTTGAATGGCTGCTTTTAAATAATGGAGTTCCTCTGTGAGTCGAGGGAATGAATTTTGAATGCACGCACCCGTGCGGAAGCACTTCACGCCTGGAGTGTGCGCACGTGAGCAAGTCACCAGGAGGCAGCTGGCGATGTGACCTGAAAGGGTGACGGCTTCTCTCTGGCATCTGCCCATGGGCACGTTCTTCACTGTGGTAGACGTGAAGGGGGTCACCTCTCCTTCCCCGGCCGTTGTGTTACTTCTCATTACCTTGCGTTTGTCGCCGGGCAAACGTGTCTGCGAGAAGGCAGCTGTTAATGCAGTATGCATTCGGTCTGTAGCTAGTGCAGTATCGTATTTGTGTGCCTAATGTCCTCAGCAGACATTTCCCTGGTATTTATCACTACAAGAAGACTATGAATTTAATGAGCATTTGGCTGTTCTTTGGCCAGGAGCACCTGTGTGCTGACAAGGAAGTAAATGGAGTTAGGGTAAAATAGAGGGCTGATTGCTGTATCTTCTGGCTATAAAGTTGGTTTCAGAGTGCAACATCCACCTACATTTCTTTATTCCACAAGTAGTTTAAAATGATGGTTTGTACGCTGAAAGAAATGAAACCTAGTTGAAAATACGGTATAGTCCAGAAGCCGAAAGTGTTTCTCTCTTTCTATAACTAACAGTAAGATCTGATCAAATCAGTGTAAACCTCTTCAGGGAAACCTCAAAAGCAAGGTCCTTGAATTACTTATGAGACTAAAAGCTTGCTCTGTGTTCTAGTTTCTGAAAAATTAATCTTTTTTTATGTTGTTGTCAAGCAATTCCATATCTTGAGGCTGGAGCAGGTTTGCAGGTTCCACCTTCTAGTATTCAAGAGGCTATAAGTAAATTGTGTTTTTTCTGATGTACAGATGGCAAAGTTTCTTCAGATCTTTTGAGATCCAAATTGTATGTAAATACAAATAATTACGATCCTTATACTATGCTACTAAGTAGTTTCTCTCATACACCAAGTTCTTGGGTTACATATTGAATAACAACTGCTTTTTCGAACAAAAAAAAAAAAAAAACAAGAAAGAAAGAAGGAAATACGTTGTCAATATCTCTAATTCTAAGAGCAGTAAAGTAAGAGTCTGACAACTTTTGTGGTCATTTATCCAAAGCCGGTAAACAGATGCAGCCCAAAAGACCCATGTTGCTTCTAAATTGTAATAAGGAAATTCCCTTTATTTTCTTTAAATATGGCTAATATATTAATATTTTCTATGATGAAAGCTACTCTTCCTATTGGCCACTTATTCAGAAGACTGAGTTGGAGAATGAAAGAATGAAGCACTTTTGATAACCTCTCATACGAAAACCACACTCTCTGCTGGAAAGGCTGTGCTCTATTATAGGTGAACTGGATAAGATTGACACGATATATTTGTTTGCCAGCAGCTTTTAAAATCAAGTTCTAGTTAAGCTGATCTTGTATAAGATGATTTCTATAATAAGGGCTGTTTCCCTTTGTAGAGTGGCTTTACACCTTTGCACATAGCTGCGCACTATGGAAACGTCAATGTGGCAACGCTTTGAGGAGCTGCGGTCGATTTCACAGCAAGGGTACGGAGCCATTTCTTTCTCTTCCTAGTTGTAATGGCCTATGAAAGTGGGAGTGTTTCTCTGTGTAATTCTTAGGCAAGAGTGAGTGAGGAGCAAAGTAATGCTGAAATTCTGTTGTGTTCCAAGATGTCTTTTTTTGCAGTAATTTTTAAACGTTGCCCCCATGCAGTGCACCAGAGTCCTTGGGAGCTGAGTAGCGACCAGTATTCCCAGCTGAAGGAAGCAGGCTCCTTTGACTAACTCCAGAAAGCTGATGTTCTCATAATGTGTCAACTCACCTCAGCTTTTCTGTCAGTTAGACATACCCCAGTAATATATGTAGGATTTATTGGCTTTTGCAGTATTTATTACTTTAACTTGATATTTTCACATATAAACATATTTTGAAAAAGTGAAGTAAGGTGTATTGCCATTACATAAATGTGACAATAAAAGTGCTAATTAATCACGACTACTCTTTTGTGGTAAAGAACTGCAGAGCGACATAATACAGTCTCTTCGCCGTTGTATGTGACGTAGTTTGAAGCACGGCATTAGGTGCCATGAAAACCTTTGTTAATCTGTACTTCAACACAGTTACGGGATCACAAGTTTTCTGTTTAATTTGCCAGACACACTTTGAATTACCTTAGGGTTCTGCCTTTCAGCCTGACTTCCTCCTGTTGCCAGTTTGGAATAGCTGCTAATACGACCTCTTTCCTCACCCAAAGCATTTACAAGGACTTTAATCCCAAACAGGACCTACTCCTTTATGCTATTGGCATTACACTGTAGGGGTCACGCATTTGTGTACTCTGTGTGTGTGGCAATGATTTAAACGCATCAGTGTTTTGTGAATATTGACTCGGTGGGACTCTGACATATGTTTGTTTATTTGTCTGACTCTGGGACTGTGATGTTTGCTGCTTTGGCAGATGCGCTTCTTCGTTTATTAAAAAAATCTCGATCAATGAATAAAGATTCTGGCTTAGAAAGGAATGACTAACTCTAGCTTATATGGTGTGTGCCTAGCTCTGGCGCTCGAGTACATTTTTGTTTATTCTCTACAACGTGATGGTCTCATTTTTTGTGATCCGAACACAAATTCACCACCATTATATGCCTTCAAATCCATCATGCTCATTGTTTGTTCTTTTCATGGTGTAGAATGGAATCACCCCACTGCATGTGGCTTCCAAAAGGGGAAACACAAACATGGTGAAGCTCTTGTTGGATCGTGGAGGGCAGATCGATGCCAAAACCAGGGTGAGTCTTTCTATTCCCTGAATATGACGTTGTCCCTTCTTGGGAACGGACTGAGATTTTTTGCTTGCTTGTTTTTGGGTGGGTTTTTTTGTTCTTAAGCCAGAGACTGAGAACACCAAGGTTCATAGCTAGGAATTCAGCTTCAGCAGTTGTGTCTCATTCTCTGTTCTTAAAGTGAGGCGTTAGGTGTGGCGTTATAAATGACTTGGGGGGGGGGAAAAAGTTCAACTGAACACAGCTCCAGAAGTGTTAATCATTGGCTCCTCACAAGTGTACTCTTTTTGAAACTTGGACCGCATTTAAATTATGACTCCAAAAATGATTTATAAAGAAATATTTTTGTACTTTTTTTTTTTTTTACTTTAAAAAAAAAAAATCAGAATCCTACCTTTAGTTTCTGGATTTTTATTTGTTTTATGTAGACTGTTTCCTATGGTATCAGACTGAAGAATGGCAGGTATTGGTGATAGTAGGAGGCAGAAATACTATTTCCTTTAGTCCACTGTATAATCTACCTATGTCATACAAGAAAAAGCTGATGAAACTGATCTTTTTGAGGAAATCAGCAGTGGGAAGTGGAGGGTTTGGACTCAGCTAAGCTTTTCAGTCCCCTGACTCCTAAATGTCTGTGCTGGTCATAGTATGCCTCCTGAAAGCTGCTGTAGCAGGCTGGCAGTCACTTTTTATTGGAGAGTCTATACTGGGAACAAGTCACCTACTCTGTGCCAGCAGCCACTCACCTCTTCCTCAGACTAACCACAGAGAATTAGGTGACGCTCACTGGCTTCCTCCTCCTGGTGGTCCTGTTGAAATGCCACACAAACACTGTGCTCTTTACGGGTGATTTTGCAGTCATTCAGGACAAAAGAAAACCCCATTGATTTATATGGGCAGGGTTAATTATTTCAAATGGGATTTTGGGGTCACCTAGGAAAATGTGATCGTTTATGTGAACTGAGCTGCACAGGGCTTGTTCTTGAAAGCTGCTGGTTTCTAAGCCCCGACCTGCAAAATTATATCACCAAGTAACAGAGAGTGTTTTAGAACACAGAGTTTAGAGCTGAACACAAGAGGTTTTGTTTAATAAGGTAGAAAGGTGGAAGAAGGTAAAGGTTATTGCAGTCAACTACCCTTGTGGTTGATTCAACCTCTGCAGTTACTTTGATATTAATTACATCAACCATTTGTTGCTTCATAAGCTGGGAAGATGACTGTGATTATCGTGTAATTCTGTATGTGATTATGATTTTGATTTCTGATAATTTATGAAATGATGTAGCTTTTGCTCTTTTTTTTTTTTTTTCCATTTTTTTAAAAAAAACTGATGATGATGGGAAATGCTGCCTCTCGTGAAGGTGCGCAGTAAATCACCCCTGGTCAAATTTTCCACAACAAGTGCCTAAAACCTTTTGGTAAAGAGACATGAAATGATTATGACCGCAGTCAGGATATTCCACATACTTCTAAGCACAGTAGTCATACAGAAATGGTCCATTTGGCCTGTGGAATGACAGTATTGAATTCACCTCTTTCCTGTTCAGTATTTAGATCCTTGTTTTAGACAAGTTGGCACAGAAGATTGTAAAAGACATCTTGGTTTTTATGAGGTCAAGGGGTATCCCCTTCCCTGCTCACCTGCAAAGATTGATGTGCAGTTCTGAATGAAGCTGAAAGAACAGGACTTTGCCCACCGTAGGTGGAAGGTGCTAATTTTAGTCTTCTCATTGTTTTGGCTTCCTGCCCTTTGTCAGCTGCTACATTAGCTCAAAAACTCTCAGCACAAAGATGTCAGTGAAAACCCATAGAGGTATCCTAAAGCACGTGTATCCCAGTTTGCGCAGGCTCAGCCGTTTACTCTCGCTTTCATCTGCCTTCTCCCTGCTCAAAGGCACACGGTGGTGGTCAGCTGCGTGTGCTTCACAGTGGGGAAGATTCCAAAGCTTTGGTTTTGCTGTCTGTGTCTCTGTGGCGTGATCCTGTCTTCATGCCAGCTGTTTATATCGTCTCGGTGTCTTTTTCTTTTCCCTTTGCTTTGTCCGCATGCCTTGTGTGCTTTGCTATGGCCGTGAGTATGTAGGGCATTGAAGAGGTAGGTTGTGTGTTGCATGCCGTGCGTACGTGCGGTTTGTGCTTTAAAGGGCAGACTTCCGCCTCCTCCACCTCGGTACTAACATGCTTGCCTTTCCATATCGCCTTTTCATTTCTTCTGAGGAACACTTGCATTTGTTCAGTAGGTCAGATTCACTGAACAAACAGTGGAATTATAAGGACTAGGGTATTTCATTGCTGGATACCTTGGGCTTTTATTCTTGGTCTCCATACTGCATCAAAATAAGCCCTGTGGTTAAAACTCATTGCTTCCATTCAGCTTGTTTTTAACTTTCTTTATTACATGATATCTGATGATGCATAAATTAAGATGCAAAAACTTATTTTAACATATTTTAGATGAGCCTCAGTACTTTAATTTTGCAGAGTTAATTTGAGAAATCTTTTTATGTTTGAAAATGTTCTGTTGGAATGATCTGTGAGGAGCCCCTGTATTGTCTAAAAGAAAAAAAAAGTAGGTTCTTCAAAGGGACTAAATTATGCATGTGTCCTGCTGTTCCGTGGTTAATGTTGCATGTCAGAGGAAAGCCCTGCTTACTGCAGGAATTACCTATTTTTATTTTCTTTACATTTCATAATGTATTTGCTGAAATTTTATGGCATTTCTTACTGGAATGTAAAGATGTAGAATTGCTAGTAAATCTGCTTGCTACACTTACATATTTTAAAACAATATTTCACCTACTTTTTTTTGGACAAGTTCTATCAATTTTCTCAGCTAACTACTAAATAAGTTTTTAAAACATGGAATATAATTTGGTTTTTATATTGTGTCTAAAGCAAAAATGTAGACTCCATTCCCAATGATATTAATAGGATACTTTTGTTAGTACTGTCTGTTGTATCTACGTTCATTCTATTTACATACAAGCCTTATCTGGAGTTTTCTTTGCTAAGTAATTAAGGTTTAAAATTTCTTGTGCTAAAACAATGGCGTAAGTTTGTTTAAAATTTTAAAATTTAGCTAAACTTCTGACCTCTTACTGTAGTGGACCGTTGGAGTTGGGTTTCAGAAGCATTTGTGCAGACTGTGGCTAGGAATCAGTGTGCAGAAACTTGTTCTCTAAAAGATGGTGGAAAGTTCAATTTATGATTAAATCAGTGCCATGTGGTCGAGAGTAATGTGGCAATTATCAGTTCTCACTTTGAGAGGTGGAAAGTGTTTACAGCCTTCGTGAAACTTGATCAGGATTATTACAGGGATAATTATGTTAAGCGTTTAAAAGCAGAGCAATTTCAGCATGGCCAATATATATATATTTCTATTAAAAAAATATATATTCTGATATAATGGAATAGTAACAGGGATACTGAAGTGTTACTGACGATTAAAGGGTTTTAGGGGTATTCTTATGAATGCAGTTTTTATAATATCTCTATTTTTATCATCCCTCTGTATAAATGGTATAGAAAAAAAAGAACAAGAATGTGAGGCTTTTTTAGGTTTTGTATGCTTTTCTACTTTCAAAATACAGTGTTATTCTCACGCCTTTGTCGCCTCATGGGTATTTCCATTTTTGTGTGACTATGCAAGCACCCTTAGAAGGGGGGCGAACATTCACCTGTCTCAGATGCTGAACTTGTCGTGCACTTTGTGTTCTTTCTGTTGAATCTTGCCAACATTGAAATTATTTTTTCTTGCTGTGGGACTTTTCTTTAGGCTCCTCTTGCAGGCTTTTGTCCAGAATATTTACAGTTGGAAAAAATCCCTGGAATGAAACAGAGCGTCTAGTCTTGGAATGGAAAGCTTATTGTGTGGGAAAGTAAACATGTTGTGTGCCTGGGGTGTGGCAGCTGGAGCTGGAGAGGGGAGTAGATGGGATAATGGTGGAGAGAAAGTCTGGTATGCCATTTGGGTTGGAGAAGGGCCACAGAAAAGAAAGGAGGCTCAGCTGGAGCTGAAAGAAGTGGAAGGTCGGTGACAGAGATGTGTGATACCAATGGGAAAAGAACGGGAAGGAAGCTGTGGGGGGGTGGAACCTGGATTTTTTTGGGTTGGGTTGAATTTTTTTTTTTTTTACGGTGAATGTGCTTCAGACACCCTTAACACTTTTTCTGGGAATCCACTGAGATTTATTTGTAATTATGTCTCCTTTCGTGTCTATGCATCCTGACAGCATAGGCGTGGCGCTCTGCTATTTCCATGTGGCAGTGGGTTTCGTGCCCTAAAGCCATTCTAGCAGGGCCCATACCCTGTCTTGGCACTGTGCTCTTTCAGTGGTTTTTCCTGCAGAAATGCTGCTGCGACATTTTCTCCTAGGCTTCACACATGCGCAGAGCACTAATAATTCATTGGCAGCTTTTGCCATTCCTAAAGCAATGTCAGATTATAAATATCTAATCACAATGCAGATATTCACTATAAAAAATTCAGTGGATTCATATAACGTTTGCAAGGGAGCAGGAAGGGATGTTGTACAGATTAGCTAAGCCAGCTATATAGGTAGTGACTATTTAGAATTATTTAAGTTGGTATTTTATTATTCAAGCAAATGCATGGTGTATTTTTTGCTGTATTTTTGCTATATTTTTAAAATTTGTACTTTGAATGGCAGACCTGGAGGAATACTTTAGAGCGTGGTTAATTATGCCAAGACTCTGAGAGCTTAGAGCAAGAGGGAGACTTGCCTTGTTCACTTTTACAGAGATGAGGTTTAGTAGGAATGAAAAATGAACAAACGAAAAGGCCTTTATTTGTGCAGAAAATTTAGACAATTTTGCATATCTAACGTACAGAATACTAAGATTGTATTTCACCCTCATAAAAATGAGAATATGCAGCTGCAGTTTAGAGGAATTCTTTGACCGTTTAGCCTTTGCTCATGTGCTATCATCAGTCTTCGTTCGAATGAGCACTGAATGTGCGCAACTGTCCTTCTGTTCAGATGCTGCCCATATCGTTTCCCATTAAGAATCTCTCGTAAGCACAGCTTCTTTTTATCTCAGTCTCACTGGTAAGCTGATGTAAAGCATTTTAATCACTGTGAAATGACCCAATAATTTATCTTCCTGAGCCTTGCAGTTAGGAGTCATGCACAGAGTTCAGAATTAATTTTGCAGCTTAAAAAAAGACCAGTGATCGACTTTCAAGAAAAAAAGGCAAAAGTTTACCTTCTATTTTGAGAGCCATTTAAGAGGAAATTAGGAGTGATGGAATTTCATGGCTTCATACATACAGAGAGGATTGTAGTGTCATTTCTAACAGAGACACAGCTGTTGGTTATTGCAAAGCACAAGCTGGGAGAGCACCACATACGGGAACAACGGAACACCAGGTGCAGGATGGCAATTGGAAGATGAAAACATTTAACTCTCCGTTATGTACTATTTGGGATGGGGAAATAAATATTGGACTTCTTAAAATAGAAAATTGCTGAATTTCTTGTCTGCCGGCATGGCAGCCTTTGTGTTTATGGGACATCCATTATCTGGGCTTCAAAGTCTGTGTCTCTTCGACCAAGTGTTGGGTCCTGTCAAATGATGTGTTCAATGTTTGGGTCAGCGTGTGTTCTTCAGCTTACATGGTGTGTACCAGTTGGCAATGGAATGACTAAAAGAGGACATAGGAAAACTCCTGCAATAGACTTCAGGGCACTGAGGTTCACTGCAAGTAGCTAATGGTGCAAAAGAGGAGTAATTTGGTACAACGGTGTGTCTCTTGATGTTGGCTAAGGTCAGTTTATCCTCGTTGTATTATGTACTAACTCTCCTGCTACAACAGCTCTCTCTTTGCAATTTCCCTCATCTTTGAAGAAAACATATAAGCAAAAATAGAATCTACAGGATTGGATGTACAATAATTGTAAAATATACATGTTATTTTCCCCAGGGCAGAAAGAGGGAAGAGAAGAGGGTTATATGGGAGAGCTGCAAAGCATATGGCTTCATTCACCTACTGGGAAGTGAATGGATAGTTAATGATGATGCGTTTATAAAAGTGATGACAAGATAGAATAGGATAGGTAGCAAATTTTTGTCTCTACTTTTAGAGGAAGTTACAGAGAAGAGCTGAGGAGAAATCATGTTTTTTACAGATTTAGTTCTTAGTTTTGTTTTAGCTAGACTTTCTTGTGCAGTTGATATGTTTCTTAGCTTGTGTTTTTCTACTTTTTTCTCTCTCTGGGCATTTATCCTGTTATTTTAAAGAGTTCACACAATTTTACCTTTCTTTTGCTGTTTTATTCAAGAGAATAACATCAAAGTCACTGTGCATATAGAAAGAGTGAACCTCCCAGACTCGTTAAAAATGTAGAGCACAAAAGGCCAGAAACTGGGAAGAAATACCAAATAAATAGCTTTCCTAGAAGTACAGTTGGGATATATTCTCACCTTACTAATGCTAATGGGAATTGTGTGTATGAATCCCGCTGGCAGTGAGATGAAAGTATGCCTCAGTTGTGCATATAAAGACCTGATTTAGGGGACTCTGGAGTTTCAGTGCAGAAAAAAACCCACAGATAAGCTAGTTACACCCTGTTCCTTCACATTGACCCAACCTGCTCGGTACTGAACAGCCTTGAATTCTGTTTGTGGCTTTGATCTTGCATCTGTTGAATTTCATTGCAAAGCTTCCATGGAATTTAGTGATGCCTCTGAGGTAGCGAGCGTCAAGGCACACCTAACCCCTTCACATGTTTCTGAAAAATCTCTGGAAGCAGTAGGTAAGGAAGGGAGAAAAATTCCTCTCCGCAGACCTCAGTTCCTCGCTGCAGTGGAGCTTTGTTGCGCTGCTGACTCAGAAAGGTGCTCTGTGCTTTCCAAACTGAGGATAAGGGAGGATCGACTTCCTGGAACTGCCTTTTGTGGAGTATTACAGGGCTACGTTTGCATAGCCAAAATGATTGTTGCAATTGCCATGGCACTGTGCGGTCTAGAGCTACTTTTAATTTAAAAATGTTAGTAGCAGGAGTAAAACGATAGCGATGTAGACTTCCTCCAGACTCCAGCAAGGCAAGCTGTAGATCTGCCTATGAAGCAGGGTCACTAACTCATACTTGAGGCTATGTTTTTGCATTTTTGATACTTTTTTAACCTAAGTAATGAATCTAACTCAGACCAGTACATCCATCATTTAATCATGCTGTTACTGGATTCTTCAGACGGCGCCCTAGAATAATAACATCTACCTCATCTAAGACGAGCAATGTGTCTCAAAGGGAGAAGGCTTTTCTTGTGATTAAAAACTGTGACCATTTCACCTTCGTAAACCTATCTCTGTGGAATGAGTGTTGATGACTTTTCTGAGTGCATGCTTGAACAGCATCGAGGTCTAATGAGGTGAAAACTGGGGTTTCTATATCGTAATTTTCTTTTTTCTGTCATTCAGCACTAATATTCTTTTGCAACCATTTTTCTTGCCTCATATTTCGTATGTTTTTCTGTATAAAGTCCAAACTGTAGCAGAATTACCTAGAATGCATTCTGTTAGCTAAGTGTTTCACTGACACATCTTTTGCTACCACTGCTGTGATCGTTACTGAGTAAGCAGAGCAAGTCTTTAGGTATAGGGTGGTGTTCTGCAATGGAAAGAATATTGCGGAGTTGGTGGTCTCACAGCAATGCTAGCAAAGAAATCTTGGCTCTTTGTTCACCACTCAATCTCAGAAATGAAACATTTTGTTCTCTTTGTTTCTCTCTCTTTTTCTTTGTTTTAAAATCTTCTTTCTCCTGCTGCCTGTTTAAGAAAAAGAAATAAAGTCTAGAACAAATTTTTTATGAAGATTTCTTGTTTCATCCCTGCGTCAAAAGCAATCCAAAGGACAAGGCTTGATTAATGGAGCATCCTTGGCCCAGCAGACTTTATCCAGAGAGAGGCAATACAATCTCAAAGCCATGCAGAGGAGAAGGAGGGGAGAAGGCAATGCATGCTCACATTATCCTCTTGGATAAGAGATTTCGACACACAATGGGCTGCTTCTCTGAAGCGGTAACCTTAGAGCGTCCTTTACTGGTGCAAGGAAGAATAGGGATGAAATTTCATGTTGTGGAGCCAGCTTTGAGTGTTCTTTACTGGTGCAAGGAAGAATAGGGGTGAAACTTCATGTTCTGGAACCAGCTTCAATTAGGAGTCAAAAGAAAGGAGCTTTTTCATATGCTTGTGGGGCTGCATTCCTGGAAGGGTGCTCCTCAGAGTGCCAGGACAGACAGTTGGGGATGTGCTCATCTGTTTTCCCTCCTTTTCCTTTAAGGATGGACTCACCCCACTCCACTGTGCTGCAAGAAGTGGACATGACCAAGTTGTGGAGCTTCTCCTGGAGCGAGGTGCCCCGCTGCTTGCACGGACCAAGGTGTGTGTCTTACTGAAATGTGTTAACAGCTCTATGTAACTTCCCACGGAATTTTCAGTGTCACTGAAAGGACAGTGAAGAAGAAAGGAACATTTGTGTTCTCCCAAAGGAAATGTATTAATGAGTAGAATGATCCAAAATAAGGTTTTCTTACATAATTACGGACTGTCCTTTCCAAATATATGACACAGTATACACTTCTCTGCTCCTCTCTGTAATATCAGACTAAACACACGCTACACCCTAAGACCGTAGGACAGAGAGATGGGAAAGCTGGTTCAGTCACTTCTGAGACACTCCTGGCATATATTTTCTGGTCCTTCATATAAGCTAACTGGGACCTGTGACTTGTAGCTTCTCCTAATTGTTTTCATGGACTATTTCAGACTTAGAAAATGATTTCAGTGTGTTCTTACTGATTTCTGAAAAGTGCACGTCTAAGATTAATGCATTTCCTACAAACGCTGCCGCTTTGGTCAAACTAATGAGAAAGGTAGTTGTAGCATAATAGCAAACCCCAGTGAGCAGCACGTCACATCGGTACATTTCAGAGGGCCTGACAAAGGTAGCTGGTGTCGTTAGTTGGAAAACAGAGCAATAGTAATGCAATGATATGTTTGAGGTCTCTTGGAAGATCGGGAGGGACAAACAATTTCAATACCCGTTTCAGACCATTGCTCTGTTTGCTGGGCCATGCTCCCTCAAACGCGGCTCAAAACAAGAGCAATTAGTGTATTCTGACCCATAGTTATCCTTACTGGAGACTCAAGATTTTTGCTTGATAGTCTTCACAAGGTTTTGTCGCTGGGTTGCAAGCCTATCAACTACATCGAATAAGGATGTGCTCAAGCTATGCATCCTTGACAGCACCAAGTAGTCCAGTTGTCTGTTTATGCAGGAGGGATCCACAGGGAGATGGGAATTGTAGGGAAAAGATTCCTTAATGTTTCATTGGTTCCCTTGGTGGGAGAAGGTGGTTAGGTGAATCTCATGTGTCAACACCCTCACTTCACTAAGAGGTAGAGACGCTCAGAAGAACAGACCCTGCCACATATGTTGTGCAGACTTCAGGCAGGATTCCCAGATGTTGCCATTCAAAGGCAGACGTTGCCAGTCAGGACAAAATATCAGCATTGCTATGGCAGCATCTGGACGTCCCCACTGTGTTGAGGACTGAGCAGAGCAGAACTGTCCAGTGAATAATTCCTTCCTTCCAGGTGACAAATAAACAGTCGCTTGACCACACCAAGTCAGTTACCTGTTCAGTTGGGTATGTTACAGTCTATATTTAAACATGCAGTGCTTTGAAGTACCTTATTGCATGTGAAATGAAATTAGATTTAAAAGCAACTTCCTCTTCTAACTTCCAACTGAAACAGGTGGTTCCAAACTAGAGATGGACAAATATGTAAATATTAAAACTATTTTTTTCTGAAAACAACTTGTTACATGTATTAATAGCAACAGTTCTCTGTCCTCTTAATTGTCTACCTTCCATGGACTTCAATATATACAAAAAGATCTATTAAAGCCAGACAGGGCTATAAAACTCCTGTTTCCACTGCCCTTCAAGTGTTATGGTTTGAGCAGAAGTCCAGCCATGGTGGTGGTTGAAAGTATCATTTCCTAGAAGCTCAGGGGTCACGTTTACCAATATAATTTGTTTTTTTTTTCCTTGAACACTTTCAGAAAAAAATACAGGTTCCTTAATGAATCCAATGATGGTTAAGTAGGTGCTTTTCCTCTAATTAACATACAACCTCTGTCTTAGTATTATGGTGAGTGTCCCCAGTGTCTTTTAAGGGCAAGATATGTTTTATTAAATCATGAGGCAAGACCCTTAGATTCTTTTGCTTTGATTAAATTCTGATCTTAGTTAATTATATGAAGTTCCTCTAAATTTGCCTGTATTTGCTGGAAAGGGGAGGGGTGGCTATAGCTTTTTTCAGTTTTTCTTCCGGTCCGTAGCTCAGATGAGGCTCTGTTTCAGTGATGGGGTACTCTGCAAACTCACAATGGCATCCTTCTACTATGTGCCACCGTCTAAGTGAGAGTTAGGAGAAGTTACTGTTCTGTTTTCTTTTGCCACAGAATGGACTTTCTCCACTTCACATGGCGGCCCAGGGGGACCACGTGGAATGCGTCAAACACCTGCTGCAGCACAAAGCTCCCGTGGACGATGTAACGCTGGATTATCTGACTGCCCTCCATGTGGCTGCACACTGCGGCCACTATCGCGTCACCAAACTCCTTCTGGACAAGAGAGCAAATCCCAATGCTCGTGCCCTGGTAAACCTGTCCCACCTGTGTCATGTAACAAAGCTATCCAGGGCAGATGAGTAGCTCTTACCAGTAAAGCTAAGTGAAAACTCTGTCAACCAACAACCTTAAGTAGTTGCAGTAACAACAGGGGTTGTCACACCTGCTGGTTACCAGTATTGTATCTCCTATCATTAGGCCTAGTCGTGGACCACGTCCCATGGCAAGTGGCTGTAGTATCAGGTCTGGAAGCTGTACCTGGTTCCTAAAATTAGAGCCATTTCTAAGCTGATGTTAATGTATGCATTGGTATTTTACTGAATCAATAGTTCAGTTTTCCATACTAGCTGATATGATACATGAATAATTTCTAAGCTTTCAACTGAATCAATTAGTTAATTGGCATGGAGAAAATATATTTAAAAGCTAATGTTTCTGCATTTATCAAATTACAACATTCCCCTCTATTAGGTGCCACTTTTCTTCCTTTTCAAAAACCGGTTCTTCTGATGCTTACGGGAAAACAGGTGTGATTCCTTTCACTTGCGGATCAGACCATTATCCCCTAACCAAGAGAAAAACATCACATTTGGCTTTGGGAACATAACAAAGCTTTCAAGAGTCTTTAGTCTGTCCGAACCCAGACAAGATTCTAATTTTGTCAGGAAGTGTCCCCATGAACTGTTAGCTGGATGGCAGTTAAAATGCCGATATATTACACTCAGTGGGGGAAGGAAAGAGACTGTGAACACTTGAGATACTTCTGCATGGCGAGAAGTCTGCCATTGCCTGCTGTATTCAGTGCCTCCACAGAACTTGCACTGCAGGCCACTCTGATGTCTTCCCCAGCCTCTTGCCTTCAGTATGACCCTGTGTTTTTCTGTGAAGGCTCCCCCCATCCCTTACGTCCCTTCCTTCCTTCAGATCTGACTTTTTGTTGACACAATTTTCTTTTGCCCTCTCATTTTTCTTGGCCTCTCTATACCCACAAATCCCATAACCCCCCTTGCTTTCTCTACTTATGCTTTTCTTGTTTTGTCTTTCTCGGTATGATGGTCACTTAGTTGACCTTTTTCAACGCTCTTTTCATCCTTTCTTGTTTTTCTTGCCAGTCTTCTGATTATCTTTAGCTGAACTCTCCTCAGCTACCTAGATGTACACATTAGATGCTAGCCCCTACATCTTCTTTCTTTCCTTCGTGACCAGAAACACACCTTCTGTTCCTTCTGTTCCCTCCCTCCCAGAGAAACATCTGAAATGAAAAGAGAGCACCCTCAGGCCGCTGCCTCTCTGCTCTCTTCCCTCCAAACTGTTTTTTTTTTCCCCTCTCTTGTTTCCTCTCCCATCAGGGACTTGTTGCCTCTGGCTTGTTCATAGTATTTAATATACTAAATGATGCTTATAATTTCTGTTAGTGATAGTTTTTTCTGCCTTTTCCTCTCCCCCATCAAACTGTTCCTTACTTAAATAGAAGTAGCAAAACTAAATCAACTCAGGGAGTAAAATTAAGTGAAAATATGGAAACTTCTGAAACAGTAAAACTCTCTGTGAAATATAGAGTGATGTTGTGCAGGAGGTAAAATATCTAATGGTTTTGATTCCTTCTTTAGAAATTGGAGAAGGCTAATAGTAGTAATAATATTCAGCAGAATCCTGTGATGGAATAAATTTTACAAATAATTCCTTTTCAGCTAGATTAAAAAAAAATTGTTAATGTTTGCAAAATTATTCAGGGTACAAGCACTATATGAATTCTTAGCTTTTCCAATTTGTATATGCTTTAAAGCACCTTTGAATCAACTAGTAATTAACATTTCCCTTAACAGAAGCTGACTGTAGAATAATCTGTCACGTGCCTCTTTCCATGAGCTAAGATTTCACTGATAAGTTCTGTTTACTGCTAGCTGATTGTTTAGCAATACTGATCCTTTTCATGAGAAAATATAGCAATTTTTCAACATGGTCTAAAAATGTTACCTGTGCTTTTCACTAAAATGTTCACATATGGTAAATAATGTGTTTGCTTAGCTTTAGGCATACACTTAACCTGCATTAACTGTAATAGCATGTAAAAAAACCTTGAAGTCAAAGTGTGTATTACAGCATAGAGTATGAAGACATGCTCTGATTTGGGCCCTGATCTTACTGAATGGGCATTTCCAAAGAAATGGGTATGTGCTCTAATGGTAAGCACAACACTAAAGCTATTGTCTCACAATACGAAATGCTAGGTTGCAATCTTGATTTAAGATGCTCCCTTCCCCACTCCCCTTTCATTGTCCCTGCCCTGTTTAATTTTAATCCAGATGAGAGCTGATACCTTGCTTACTGTGCTTTGTGACTCAGCAGGGCAGGAATGAGGAAGGGGGGGGCACAAACACTTCAAGAGCGAAGACTTTGTGTCGCGAAACCACGGCTGAAGTATTGACTGTTTATTTCAGATACCCCACAGAATGCACACGCACACAGAAACATGGATACAATATGCTGTGGATTGATGCATAAATATAAAAATAAATACATATAGATGCTTAGATTGCAAGATACTCTAAAATGACAAAATAAGGTGGAATCTGGAAGAAGTACTCCGTTTTTTTCCTAGAGAGGTGTAGAATTTCCTTTATACATTTCAGAAGATGCTAACTAATATCAAAGTGATTACTGTCATTTCTTGTATTTTCCTTGTGTTAGGGAATCTTGGGAACCACTCGAAGTCATCCTTACATGTAGATGTGTGCAACCTTCAGAACCACATACATACATGCGTGCAGGCGTGCACTTGAGAGTCAGAACGGGCATGTCTGTATTTGGTTTTTGGAGGTGGAAGTTCAATTTCTCTCCATTGCCTGAGAAGAAAGCAGTGCCACTGCTTTGTTCTACCTCAGACTACTGGGAGATGTCTGTAATTCATAACCTGTTGTGCTTAAAGAACAATTGCTTCTGGTACTCTAACACTTCTGCTCCCAGTGTGCCAGCATGGAGCTGAGTGGAAAGTGTAGCTGCATGTTTTTAACTAACATGACTGTCTTTTGCACAGAATGGTTTTACTCCACTGCACATTGCCTGCAAGAAAAATCGCATCAAAGTCATGGAACTCCTGGTGAAATATGGGGCTTCAATCCAGGCTATAACAGAGGTAGAAAAATGTTTCATGTCCTGAAGAAACATTCCTTCTCTCTCTCCCTTTTTGCTTCCTTTTTTCTCTCTCCTATCATGCCTCACTTTCATTTATGTTTTATTTAAACGAAGAAGCCCCTTCCCTACGCCCGTGCAGAGGAGTAAAACTGCTCTTGCTTTGTTTCGCAGTCGGGCCTCACACCAATACACGTGGCTGCATTTATGGGCCACTTGAACATAGTCCTCCTTCTGCTGCAGAACGGAGCCTCTCCCGATGTCACTAACATTGTGAGTATGGCTTTGACTAGAATCATCTGTGCAGTACCTCCTCCAAAAAGGGTCTGGCCTACCATGTAGCTCAACCAAAGGTCACATTTTAATGCTACTTTATGACTTTATTGCATTTTAGGAGAAATAATTCTAGCACCTTTTGTGAAGAGGGGAAAATGGTGATTCTATATGCATTATAAGCCATCCGTGGTTTCATGTATTCTTCAACAATGCTCGAGTAGGTAAAGTTTCCCTTAGAAACAGACTAAGCTCACCAGATACATCCAAAACGGATTATGAGCCAAGTCGCAGGGAAGACTTGTGTTTCCGTTCTGAAGGGTGAAATTTAAGTCCAAATGGCTCTAATTTCTGCTTGCGTAGCTTCGCTGGCTGCCATGAAGTTGTGTCATTTGTATCAGGGAAAGGGCATAAGTTGCTTAAAACCTATCAATTAAACAAAAAGGAAAAATGTTAAACTCAAGATATTCCTCAGGCACAGGAAATTCCAGGAACTGGTGCCTTTCCAAAGAAGGTGCTTAAATCTAGAAAATGTGACCTTTGGGAGGTAACACAAAACGCAGAACCTGACTTACCATAGAAATCAGTGTTTGTATACCAATAGCCTAGTTACCAAGAATAACAATAAAAATAACATGGTAGTTTTCTGAGCTGTACTTCATAGATATTTTACTGTTCGTTTAAACAAATATTCAACTTATGACAACCTGCACCTTGAAAGCAGCTTTTTACCAGTAAATAATGTTATCGATAAGTGTTCCCAACATTGAAGCAACAACAAAAATTTAGTAATTCAGGAACTCTGGACTCATCAGTTTTTCTCAGTTAGAAAAATCTTATATGGAACTTAGTAAAAATGTTTGGCACACGGAGTTGTTTGCTTGAATCATTAGAACAGGCTTTCCTTGACAAAGTCCCTTAATGCTTTCATACTTTTTTATAGAAGCAATCTTTATATAAAAACTTTATTGATGATATAAAAGCCAACAAGACATTCCTCTGGAAGCAGTTAAAAGTGTTGTGTTACCAGACATTTGTGTGCAAAGTTTAACACTTTACAATTTGTGCCACACAGGTGTCTTGGCTTTTACTTGGTAAGCTCAAGTTCCCTGTTGAATTACTGTTTCCAAAAGCTATATTGCTTTGCTAATTCAAGTACAAAAGGATCTTTATAGAAATTTGATCTTCAGAGTGTGTGAAATGTAAATCTTATTCACCTTTTGAACAGGTCATTCTTCAGGTAATAAGGTTTATATAGATGCAATTCTCTCTTAAGATTTATAGCTAGGGCTGTGGGATTTTGTTTGTTGCCCTGCTTACTGATCATAGCTGGTAATACGATGTTTATTTTAAAATGACAAGATAAAACAACTCCTAGTGAAGAGGGTCTGCTTTGATTAGAAGTTCATAATAGTAGGCAAGCTCAGGCCGCTTCTTTTCCTACATCTAGATGAAGGACAAGAAGACGTGATTCCTCACGCTGATGCAAAAGATCTTGACCAGAGTGTTCATGTTGGCAGTTGCAGTTTAACTTGGTAGTCATGGGGGTAAAAGCCTTAGAACAGAATATACTCCAGCTCTAGAGTAAGGAACAGTTAACACAAAGAAGCGATCAGTCCTGCTATGTTGTCGTAACAGATAAATACAGAGCTCCTGGTTGTGGAACTGTCCCCGTACCCAACATACCAGATACTGATGAGCTGCACAGGGACTGTTTTAGCCTTCTTTAAGGTGGTGCACTCAAAGAATGTTGGAGGTTGTAAAATTAAATTAGAAACACCATCGTCAAGGATTACTCACTTTCCGCGTTCCTTTGCAAAAACCTGTGCAAAAAGTAAATGCTTTGAATGTATCATCTGTATTTCATTATTCTGATCTGAAATTCCACATCACTCCAGCCAGCTTTCCAAAATTTCCTTCAAATTCTGTGGGCTACAAAAGGCTTGAAAGAAGATTCATTCCATAGCCTGCAGACAGAACCACGCTGCTGAGCACAGATTTTACCCATTTCACATGCTGGCTCAGGTTGTGCGCAGCCATTGCAAGGCCTTTTAAGGCTGCCAGCTCCACGCAGTATGCAGGAAGAGACCATCTGGAAAAATATCCCCTTCCGTCTTGAGGCTCATGTGCCTCGCAATCCCTTGAGAGAGACAGGCTCAATATACTTTTATCTCCTGTGCAGCACCCAAGCTGATGTACTGGTACGTAGAAAGCTGAGGAACATACGTGACCAGGAGAGCCTAAAGAGCAGAATTTTCTATAAGCCAGGATTTTCATTCTGACCCTCCATAGCGAGATTACATTTGTCTGGGATCATCGAGTTTGCAAACCAAAGCGTACCCAGGCCCAGAGACACGTATGCACACATCCTTCTGAGCTGCCTGTTACTGGGTCTGACAGCCAGATTCTCAGCTGGCGCAAAGGCGGGTCTCTGCACGAGTTGGCGTGGGTGGAATTTGCACCGTCGGAGCTCATGTTTCTTCATGGAGGTTCAGGACACTGAAACGCTTTTGCTTTTCTGCAGCGTGGAGAAACTGCGCTGCACATGGCGGCACGTGCTGGGCAGGTGGAAGTAGTTCGCTGCCTCCTGAGAAACGGGGCTCTGGTTGATGCCCGAGCCAGGGTAGGTGTTCTACTTAAAATATTTTTTTTTTGCTTTCTCTTACTCAAAAATATAGCTGAAGCAGAGGAGCTAGGGAGGAGCAATTTCATTTTTATTTGACCCATTGATTCAATATTCAGCACATCTAAAACCAGTAGCCTATGTATGCATAGGTCTTCCAAAGAGAATGTGTGGTGGGCTGACCCTGGCGGCAGCTCAGCCCTGCTCGGTCATTCGCTTACTGCTCCTGCAGCAGGACTGGGGAGAGAACTGGAAAGGCAAAAGCAAGAAAATCTCTTGGGTTGAGATAAAGACAGTTTAATGGGTGAAGGAAAAAAAAAAACCACACCCCACAGAACCAACCCTTCTCCCCGCCAAGTGATGCACCTCCCACAAGCAGACAGATGCCCAGCCAGTCTCTGAGCAACGGCTCCTTTGGAAAAACTCATCCCCTAGTTTTATTGCTGAGTGTGATGTTTTATGGTGTGGATTATCTCTTCGGTCAGTTCGGGCCAGCTGTCCTGGCTGTGTCCCCTCCCAGCCTCTTGCCCATCCCCAGCTTATTCCCTGCGGGGGGCAGAGAGAGAAACAGCCTTGGCGCTGTGCAAGCACTGTTCAGCAATAGCGAAAACACTGGTGTGTTATCAGCACTTCTTGGTCAGAAATCTAAACCAGCACCATACGGCCTGCTGTGATGAAAATTAACTCCATCCCAGCTAGACCCAGTATGGTGTGCCTGACTCTGACCAACAATAGCTGTTCTGTCTGAGCAAGGAGGTGCACAGTGCTGTCCTAAAATCAAACATCAGAAGTTCTGATGGCAGTTAGTGCCAGATTTTGAAACCGAGGGGAGTGTTTTTTGTAGAGCAAGGTACAGCTGTTGTAAAAGAAATGAAGAGCGCAAAGGGAAGCAAGTGATGCTTGCAGTGCTGTGTGCTATCTGCTTGATAAAAGGAAAAAACAATGTTTTTCTTCGTAGTTCTCTCTGTTCTAATAATGCATTGCTGAAGCTCATTGCAGAAATTAACCTGCGAGCCCTCTGTTACTGCCTTTCTTTGTACAATTACTTCCTATGATTTTTGCAAGACAAATGCATAGATAGATCTGGGATGAACCAGAATATTGTGTTCAGGGTGGTTCTACCTGCACTAATTATCTACTCAATTTGAGTTGTAGGAAGAACAGACTCCACTGCACATTGCTTCTCGCTTGGGTAAAACGGAGATCGTCCAACTTCTGCTACAGCACATGGCCCACCCTGATGCCGCGACAACTAACGGGTACACTCCACTCCACATCTCTGCCAGAGAGGGACAAGTTGATGTCGCGTCGGTTCTCCTAGAGGCAGGTGCCTCACACTCCATGTCCACCAAAGTAAGACAAAATGCTTTACGTCTGTGTTCCAGTAACACAGGTAGTGCGTGCCAGTGCACACCTGTTCCATGAGGAATGTACTTTTTCACTGAGAAATTGAACTAGTTTGGGTCTTTTGTTCTTACTTAATCAACAGCAATACAATAGACTGAAGTAGTGTATCAGAAGTTACTCAAGTTTTGACATATTGTGCTGTCATCTAAATTCGGGATTTTGGTTCCCACTGGAGCCAAATGCAGATCATGATAAATACATGGTCCCAACAGGTTTAAAATGTACACAAAGTCCTTTTTTCTCTCTTTCCCATTGTGTTGTGGATAGGGCTTTTTTGGCCACAGTTTTCAAAAAAGAAGAGGGGATGATGGCGATGCTTTTTTTTATGAACGGGCCTGTTTATTCTTCAATACCTTGTTTATTTAAATAGTAAAATAATTCTGGTCTGTGCCAGCTGAAAGGAATATTCCTAAAACATGCAAGTCAGCATCTGTCCAGTTGCATCTAATGCTGAATCTATTTTCAGTGGATCTATAAATAAGGTGTCACCATATGACACAATAGGTCATTTCATCTGGGGTTATAAAATAAATAGTCTGCAGAGTCATTTTTGTTTTGTTAGCCCAAAACATTTACCGATAGATTCCTTAACAGAGTGACGAACACTTAAGAAAATAGATAGCTGTGAGTAGAATAATGTGCCAAGGTATCTTTTCCAAATGTATTGCATGTGATTAAGTGAGAATACTGTAAATCTCCCTATTGTTTTAGGTCTTTAAAAAGTACCCCTAGTTTTACAGCTGGAGCTTAAAACATATTTTTGAACAATGGGGTGTCTTCCAGGGTTTAGCGGACTAAACCAGCAATTTTCAAATTATGATTCGTGGATTACTGGGAACGCTTGCTGTTCTCCTTTTATCCAGCTGTTAAATGACATTAAAATGGCTAAAAATACACTAAATACTTTCCTAATTTCCCAAATTGCTTTAGTACTGCAGGAACATTCTAGAATTATGAAGAGGAGAATATGTAGTCTGTTAGATAATCTCTCTACAAACCTGTGATTCGTGAACTGGAAAGGTTTGAGATTCCCTGACGTAAAATCTTGTTGAGGTGGGATTAATGGAATGAGATGATAATGATAATAAACATTACACATCCCTTATGTGTCAGGCAAATAGGTCATCGTAGCTCCCCAGAATTACTGTCAGGGTGGCGGTGCAGTCTGCCACCTACTGTCTTGCGTCCATGAGTTTTCCTTATCAACGTCTTTTTTTAAATTAAAAGAACAGGCGAAGAGCTTGTTGGTTTGGCATAGACCTGACACCTGTGCTGTGCTGACAAGCACTAATCAAACAAATAGAAAAGGACTCTTTTTAAAAGATGAGGTTGTTCAGTCTTGCCACAACATGTTTCCAAAAGCGCTGCCATTGAGTTAGGTGTGACTTTTTTTTAGCTGCAGTTCATAGGCTGCAGCAGAACTTAGTGAGTGTATGGATACATGAGTCCAAACAGAAATTACTCTTCAACAAACTCTAAAGGAGGAATACAAGGTTTGGAGCCTTTCTTGCTGAATTTAGTTGGTGTTTCATTGTTACTGGCAACAATTGATACGGGAAATATTTCTGAAGCTGTCATCATGAAACTAAAAAGTGCAGCTGGTTTGGAGTAGAAATTTGAACACGTGCCTTTGCCCACACACAGTGCATGTTGCTAGTAGAGTCTGTATCAGGTACAATGTCTGCCAGCCTGACAGCACGTACATAGGAAAGAATAATAAAAGGGAAAGTATTTTCTTGTATTTCGTACTTCTCGAATTGCTTTCAAGAGATCATGCTCTTTCTAGGTACGGCTGTTGATTCTGAGAGCTAGAATATAGGTTGAAGAGTAAGCGCTCAATACACAGTTCTTAGAAGAGGGATGTCAGCATGACCTTTAACGCAAACGTCTGCTTTTTATCTCCTGGAATTTTTCAGAAGGGATTCACACCTTTGCATGTGGCGGCTAAATATGGGAGCCTGGAAGTGGCAAAACTCCTGCTGCAGCGTCGTGCCTCTCCTGATTCAGCTGGCAAGGTACTGATGAGAAAGGGAAAAAAAAAAAAAAGTCAGCAGCGTTTTGGATTCTTCCTTTGGAAAGAACCGTGTGAAACATGCACGTGGAAGAAGGCTGCAGCTGCTTTCACGGGGTGCCTTTGGCTTTGTGCGGGTCGCATTCCCCCCAGGGTGTTGGTTCTGGGTGGTGCTAGCTGTGGAACTGTGCTGCCCAGGGGGTGGGGTTCGGGTCCTTGGCAGGAGGGCACGCAGATCTGTTTCTGTGGCTCTGGAAGCACCGGTTTCATTGAGCTCTCCAAAATGTCAGAATCCTAAGGGATAAACCACGGGGGCAAGACCCCATTTCCCCCCGTGTTGTGGGAACTGGTTAGCCTGAGCTCTGGCAAGATGCAAACCAGGCCTGCGGCCGCAACCACCCAGACACCCGCATTCACCCTCCTCCACCGCTTCTCCCCCACTAACCCCCGTCCACCTGCTGCGGCCTTGCCCTGCCTGCACCCCTCACTGCCCCCATCCCCGCGGCCGGCCCGGCGCCGGTCGCCTCCCGCACTAATGCCAGCTCGGCCTAACGCCAAAACCGCCCTTGCAGAACGGCCTCACCCCCCTCCATGTGGCGGCCCATTACGACAACCAGAAGGTGGCCATGCTGCTGCTGGAGAAGGGCGCCTCGCCCCACGCGACCGCCAAGGTGAGCTCCCGCCTCGCCCGAGGGACCCTGCGCAGGGTGTGGGCGGTCAGACACCCCGAAAGGGTTGTGGGGGCCTTAGAGCTGGTCACAGTGTGACTGGGTGGGTTGCTGAGCCTCATGAGGTCCATGCAGTGGGAAAGTTGCCCTGGCTGGTTGGCCCCCTACCTAAATGGGTGTACGGCTCCCTCACACCTTTGTTGAAAAGGAAGAAATATGTACCTGCATGCATATATGTATGTGTATGCATATATGTATGTGTCTCTCTCCACCCATTTTTATGTTTGTGAACTTTAGTCATAGGTGGAAGTCGCTTTAGTACTGTGCAATATTAGAAATGGTGTGTATATTGTGACCACGCATACAGACAGTTCATTCCAGGGTTAGGGACAGTATCATGGTGTCACTGTGTTAGGCAAAGGCTGCTAAAAGGGAGAAATAATGAGTGAATTGGTGCTGATGTCAGACTGTTCTGCGCCGTGTGAGGCTGCTGTTGTACGCGCTGCCAAAGGATGCGGCCCGTCTGTTAAGTGATTGTATCAGAGCTGTTGTGTCCGTTGTGGTGCATGGAGAGCAGCAAAAACTCTAGTTGCAGTAGGATAGTTTGGTAAAGCTCCCTTTAAAAAACCCCACACAGATCAACCAGCCCAACTCCTCCAGAGGGACTGTCCGCTGTAGCACAGAATTTTTCCTCACCATGCATTATAAAGCAAATAAAAGTGGGAAGTTGTCTTATTGCCAGAAAGTACCATCAACGCTATTCTGCTTTGCTTAAATGGTTAATTTGATCAGAAAAATATTCCTCCCTATTGCTGTATCCAGCCAGTGCCGTGACTGACACATGTATCAAAATTTCATATGCGAACACACCTCTACCCACACGCTCCAAAAAAGCATAATGCAATGAAGAGTGTGCGCCCATCACTCATCACAGAGAATGTCACTCATCAGTCAAAAGTGAATATTTACAACGTAGGTTATTCAAAATGTAGGTGTTGAACTCGGGATAATTTGAAGGTATCAGCTGAACAGTCCTGCCCACCCTAGTGAGGGCTGGCTTTGTTCTGGTTTAGATGGCGAAAATAACAGGCTGACAAAGCAGCACAACAACAGGGCCATGTGGGACATGTCTGGCCTTGAAAATTTAATGAACTCTCATCTCTAGTAATAAAGGGTAACATAAAATAATACTGACTTCTTAGGCTTAGGTGGCTCTTGTGTTAACTTTATTCTCGTTTTGTTTCCTGACTGGTGTTAGAATGGATACACCCCTCTGCATATTGCTGCCAAGAAAAATCAGATGCAGATAGCTACCACTCTGCTGAACTATGGGGCTGAGACCAATATTTTGACCAAGCAGGGAGTCACCCCGCTTCATTTGGCCTCCCAAGAAGGTCACACTGACATGGTGACCTTGCTTTTGGAGAAAGGATCCAATATCCATGTGGCAACAAAGGTAACTCACAACTGGAAACAAAGTACTGTGGGTGGGAGTATCCAGTAAGATGCAAAGCACAGTGTAGGAATGATGTCACGCTGTCAGGAATTCTCAGCTTCACTTCCTTATATACATACTTGTGAGTCTGCAGAAGTGACAACAGGTGGGTGAACAGTAGAAGTGAGAAGAGGGTATGTAGCACTGGCAGATGGATTCACCAGTTCATGTATATCACGTAATTAATAGCTTACTGGGTAATGCGCAGGAGGAGCTGCAGCTGTTTGCCGTGACCGGAGGAAAACGACGTAACACGTGGCTCCGGTAGAGAAGTTACAGGAGGAAAGGCAGACCAAGAGAAAATGATTTCTGAACATTCAGGAAGGCAGGACTGCAGTATTTTGTTGTGCTGCAACCTTGCCATCTCTCAGGTGTTTTGCATACACTCCTCAAGTTTTATAGTAGAGGCAAAGGAAGGGGAATGTAAAATTCTGGAGTTTGTGGGTCTGTGGGTAAGTGGGTAGATTTAACAGCATGTATCATAAACCTGAGAGCTGCAGTCTGAAATAGTTCAGTGCTCTTGCCATCAAAGACGCTTTTCCTCATGTATTTTCCCTTCAGCCTTCTTTGCCAGTGGAAGAAATTGGCAGCGTCTGGCAAATAACAAAACAACATTATTAGTGGAGTAGCGAGTGAGAGAAATCCTCTGGAGGACCTTTCCAATTTTTAATTTTTTTATTTTATGTTTGTAAATGACAGCATTTTCATAGAAAACAAGTTTATCACAAAAAACCCCATCAGCTGTAGATCTTCATAGATCACCAGATTTATGCAGGCATATATGTAAATCTTAAGGTCAAAAGCCTGCAGCTTTTGTCATACAAGTCCAAATAGAAGGTTCAAGCCTCCATTGTTTATGCTACCTAACCAATGCGAAACAAGGCGATTTTCCTTTCTCTTACAAATTTGTTCCCTGTCTTGTTCACAGACAAGTACTGTGTGCGTGATTGCAGTGAGCTTTTAGTTAAGGGTGCATCCATTTCCTTGGCGTCTTTAAATGGGATCTATTTCTGGAGTTATTTTCTACATTCTGACTCGTGCCTGCAGTTGTCAAGGTTCCCTTTCCTGTCTGAGGAGTGGGAAGCACAGTGAATGTGCTTCCCTAATTTATTAATGGGCTTCTAACAGCTTCACAAGTGACATTATTGTATAAAATCTGAGCGTGATCATTGATGCTTGAAAGTTTTACTCTGTGGTTATGGTGATGTAATTGCTTTGGAGCTGTTTGTCAGCTGGAACAGGAGAAGCATCAACTCTACTTTGTTTAAAAAAGCCACCCATACTTAGAAGCTATAGTTAGGATCTCTTCATGTTTTAAAGATGAGAAAGTGGGACAGTCTAGATTTCTTTCCTCATATAAAGTAGGTTTTATTCTTATTTTCATCTTTATTTATTTAATCGTTTTCTGTGTTCCACCTCTAGACTGGACTGACATCCTTACACCTTGCAGCTCAAGAGGATAAAGTGAATGTAGCTGAAATACTCACAAAACATGGTGCGAACCAAGACGCTCAGACAAAGGTAAATCATGGAGTGGCTACTGTCTCCAGTCTGCCAAAGGATGCTACCGTTGTAAAAGGAATGTTCCACTGAGCTTGCAGTTTTACTTCTTTGTTCTTTTATTGTAGCTTGGTTATACACCTTTAATTGTGGCGTGTCACTATGGAAACATCAAAATGGTGAATTTTCTTCTCAAGCAGGGAGCAAATGTCAATGCTAAAACAAAGGTAAAGAATTTTTCATTGCTTGCTTTTGCTTTTTATTACGAACATGGTAACCAAGCACTATGAATACATACCATAGGTGCCTTTTCACTAGGAAACCGTAATTATTACATGGTAGGTGTCAGCGTACGGTGATTCGTGGCTGTAGTAGAATGCCTTCTCTGTTACATTTCGTTGTGTAGTGTTCACAAAAGAAAAGTCAGGGAACTCTTTGAGTGTATGAAAGAAGGAGATAGAGGATCAATTTCATTGGCTTTTTTCCTTTGTCTTTTTACTTGCAAACTACCAAATGCGAGCTTGTTTCTCATCTCATTTACACATGGTTTACACCAGTGTAATACCGGTGTGCTGCCAAACTAGTAAGTAACAATTCAGACGCTTTGAGGGTGATGCCAGGTTCTCTCCAATCTGCTGGGAGAAGAGTGGGAAGAATTACTGCTGTTCAAAGCGTGGGTCGTATGACTTTGGGAGAGGAAGCAGCTGTGGTGGGGGAATGCAGTTTACTGAAGACAGGTTTGGCGGGTTTTTTTTTTTGAGGGGAATCTGGGTACGCTGTTACTGGGCAGTTACACCAAAATGGACCTGACTGCTTATAGCCAAAGTCTGAACGAAATCCACTGACTTCAGTTTTTTCTAGTGTAAACTGGTGGGCACAACAGATGAATGTGATGCATTTTGTAGCAAGAATTGTATATCTCCTGAGTATACACAGAGAGGTTCTGGTGACGGCAAGAGCGTGTTGCATCCCAGATATCGTCACATCACCCTTGTCAGAAAAAGAAGGCTAACTCAGGAGCTGCAGGGCTTCAGCTTAGTTCAAGCTGGCTTCAGGCAATAACTAGCTACTAGCTTCAGATTGGGTGTCTTGGGCTCAACATGAAGTAGTCCATTGATATTTCTAGTGACATACTTAATATTTGTAAGATCCAGTCAAAATCACAGGCTTGTGGTCTGCTGGTCCCCCTGGCCAGCTCCTCTGTCCCCAGCTGTGACCAATGGGATGGATTAATTTCTCAAAGTAGCGCTATTTCATCGCAGTGGCCGCAGCTCAATGTGGTAAGAAACAGCAAAGTAAATCAATAAAAGATGCTAGCCCATCCCTTGTGAGATCACCCCAAATCAATGGACAAACCCCAGGGATTCCAAGAGAACAGGCAATGCTAGTAGAAAAACATAAGATAAGAATTAATGAAGCCGACACTAGCAGGATCCAAACGATAGCTGCCAAGATGTTCGGAGGCTGACTAAAGGGACAGACGTACTTGTGTTTTTAGTATTAGGTCTCACTCTATGTCTAAGGGGCCACTGGGCCAGATTCTGACACCATTTCCACAGGTATAGATGAATATATATAATAATTTCATTAAAGTTAGCAAGCTTGTATGAAAGTATGGGGCAGTAGTTCTCCAAAATCTCACATCTAGGGACCAATAAACATACTGGCCATCTGTCAGGTGGCACTATGGACTCAGTTTAAAGAGCAAATCCGTGCTGGCTGGATTCAGTATAAGCACGTTAAAGAATAAGTAACCTCTACTGCAGCTTGGTCTTCAACTGGAGAAAGCCTGGATGATGCTTTGTGCCATCTCCAGTGAGAAATAACATGGCTGAATTCTGTTTTTGAAAGACTGCACTAATATTTAAGTTAAAGATAGTAAATTTACTTTGCACTGCAACCTACAGTAAAATCTTCCTTCGATTTCTTAGTAGTCCATGCACGGATACTGTAAGTATAAGCACTTTAGGAGTTCTAACTATTTAATTAGTAGTGCAAAGCATTACTTGCATCTATTCGTTTGCAAAAGAGATAACTCTCAGAGCATGTCTTTCAGAGCCTGCCCCCAGGCTTTACGTAAGTGTGCAGTGAGATCAGCTTGGTGTTTTCTTCCAATTTATTCTCTGCTTGCTTTCAAAGCCAATTGCAAATAATTTTGTAAATTAATTGCCTGGCTGGACTTACACAATACCATCTCAGATCAACTAGCTGAAGTTCACTTTGGTTATGTTTCTGTATTGTGTAACATTAGAATGAATCACTGGAGCAGATAAGTATATGGAGTTAAGCGTGTTTATTAATACAGACATTGTGTACATGTTTTCAAGTATAATTTCAGCTTGGTCAAGCCTTTTGAAGGCAAAGTAAAGCTAAAATTGATTGGCATTTGTAACAGGTAGAAGTTGTTACCCTTTTTAAAAATTAATAGTCTCAAATCACCGCTGTTAAAAATGATATATTTTTAAAATCAGCTCAAATATTTTAAAGGCGAATCTTGTCACTTCTATAGAAAACTAAGACATGAAAGGAAGAAAAATGTTCTCTGCCTCAGTTACAATTCTATGTCCTTAGCATGCCACTTTAACTTTACTGTTCCTCATTGTTCCTCCTTCTGATTTGGGAAATGAGGAATTCTCTGTCTTTCCAGAGATTGCTTATATTGTGAGATGAAAGATGAGTTGTGAATAAAAATATTATCTTCCTTTCGCTTTTCATTAAGCTGGGGCAGGAGTATGATTATTACTGAAGGTTTATTATCTTTGGGTCAATTGATGGCATAATTTCTTGTTGAAATGTCTCAAAAGGAGCAAAAGGAAGCAAAGCAAAGTGTCTAATCTAATTACTGGTGGTTGGTGTTCTTTGTTTGTTTTCTTTTATCGTAACCACCGTGGATGACAGAATGGCTACACCCCTCTTCACCAAGCTGCTCAGCAAGGCCACACTCACATCATTAACGTTCTCCTCCAACATGGGGCCAAACCCAACGCCATCACCACTGTAAGTCTGTGAAGTACCAGTAGGAACTTATTTCCCTGGACAGTTCTTTTCTTTCCTTTCCTAGCGCTTGAGAGCAAGCCTTTGTTTTGGTGAAAGTATTCCTCATACAGCTGGGTGTCAGATGTGCCAATGTAACTTCCTCTTCTTTTCCTTATCCTCTTAAGGTAGTTCAGATCAGATCTAATTCAATGCACACTAAGCTAAACGTGAGGTGGGGAAACTGATTTCTGAGCTGCAGGGTCGGGCTGGCCACAGCTAGCTGGGTGGTGCTTGTTCAGTTGCCCTCTGCCTCCATGATCCATCTGTAAATTGATATCTCGATAAGGTTTCTTCCATAAAAATTAACGAAAAATCAGAACTGGGGCTTTTTTTAAGATTTAGACCCAAATTTCTGTCCTGCTGGGGGACCTACTGGGTCTGTTCCAGGTTCTTACTGAGTTCACTGGTGTTACTGCCTCCTCAAAGACTGTCAGTAACCTCTGGCACAGCTCCTCTGCAGTCAGCCAGGAATGCAACTGTCCTATTTCATGTTGATGTTGCTGTTAGTCATCTCTGATTGGGTAATCTTTAAAATGCAGCCAGAATGTCCAAAACTCTTGTCATTCCCCAGAGTGGGTCAGGTTTCCTTGTACATACATTGTGCATGCTTAAATCAGCACTGGCACTCTGTTTGGTCCTGGAACGATCACATTGAATAATCTTGAGTGAAGTTAACCAAAATACCAGTTTATGCACCAGATTATAGAATCATAGATCATCAAGCAAGAGATGTTGTAGTCAGCTTCTGGGGCTGTAGGAACCGAAGGCCTCTTTACTTGCTTTCAGTCCTTCTGTTGGGGCTGTCATGCCCAAATCTAACCCAAATCCAAGCAGGGTTACAAGGATATGTCTTTACTGCACAGTTTGCATATTTTCTCAGGTACTAGATCTGTTCTTGTCCACACATAGCAACCTCTAGCTTGAGATAAGAGAGAATTTAAACCTGAGGCATCTGGCAGGGGGATATGAGAATGGGATACGAGCAGGTAATGTGCAAGTGACAGTAACAGTCAAATTATTTGTGCTGTGAAGATGCTAATCTATTCATTTTGTGCTGCTCATCCACAAACACTGTGTTGCTTCAGGGTTGCTGAGTTAGACTAACACAGAACTTATGTTATAGATAACTAAAGCCAATACTGAAGTAGAGAGAAGCCCTCAGGCTGATATCCTGCGCACAGTGCGGTGGTGTCACAAGAGAAATCATTTCAGTGCAAACAGGGGTACGGTGGCTTTCTGTGATTCGCCCAGTAGGCCAGCACTGAACCTTTGGTTCAGTGCAAAATAACATAAAACAATTCTGTGTGGAGCTCTTTACAAAGAATCATGGAACAAACACATCCCTTCCTCCCCTCCCCAAGTTGAGTGACTGGGACCGTGGGCTGCCGATGTTCCAGGTGATTAAGTGGAGATAAATAGGCTTACTTACTTAAATTAGCATTTTAACGTCCGTTTAATGAATGGCACATCTGCATATCATGGGAATTTAAACTGCGGATAAATTTATTTAAATGGAAATTAATTCTCCACCCCCCGAGCCTTATAGGGGTTGGTTTTGTGTTTGTTAAATCATTAGCTTTTGTGCACTTTCATTGGACATACATTTTTGTTGTAAGGACGAATAGAAGTATGTGTGGACAATACAGCTGTAATCTTGTGTTCCCCAAAGAGGGAATAGTACCTGATAAAGATTTTACAATTTCAACTGGAAGTGAAACTGTAACATTTTAAAATACCTTTTTTAGGAGAGTATTCTGATGTAGAGCTGTTTACGCGAAATAAAACATGAACTTCTGCAAACAAGATATGTTCTGTCTAGTGAAAAACTTCCGTGAGCCCTGAAGGGTTAAACCATACAGCACTTTTGTGTTTAGCATAGCAGGCAGATGTAAGTGTGTTGTGTTACCATGGTAATCAGGGCTATAGTCTTAAAGAAGTTACACAGACAGAGTCAGATGTAACGGTAAAAAAACAGTGCTTTTCCTAGGCTGCGCCTTGTTTTGGATGGAAATGCTGGCTCATGCAGTGTTGAGAGTGATCTCATTGGTTCACATCACAATCCTCCCTCTCATCGCGCTCTCTCTCTCCCCTTCTCTCTTTTCTCTTCAGAATGGTAACACTGCCTTAGCTATTGCAAGGCGCCTGGGATATATCTCAGTGGTCGATACGCTGAAGGTTGTAACGGAGGAGATAACTACCACCACAACTGTGAGTTGCAGATGCATTAAAATGTCTCTCTTCTTTATTCAGAATGTTGTCTTTCTCTCCAGACTCTCCACGTCTCTCTTTCCTTTTTTTTATTTTCTGGTTTTAGCCCCCCCTTTCTGTTGGATTTTTGCAAAAAATGCTACGATGCTTTCAGTGTATCTTTTAAGCATGTGGAAGTGTGTGCAACACAACAGGCTTCACTGAGCTAGGTGACAAAACCTACGTGCACACAGATGGAAAACAACTATTCAAAAAGCGGAGTAAAACTTTTTTCTAGATGTGGGTCTGAGCTGCAAACCCAGCCTTTCCAGGAGTTTGTGCGTTGTTGTTTAGAACTTGTCCTTTTTCTCTCTTTCTCTTTTCACCTCTCCTTTTCAGTCTGTCCTTACATTTCCACACTTTTGACACCTACTGAGGCTCAACCCTTGCAGCGCACCACAGCAAACTCCTTAGCGTTTGGGCTGTACCGGCCGTGGACTGGTGCCAAGCTTAATGATGCTCACTAGATGGCTCTGAATCACATCAATCATCTTTTTACTCGAGTCACTTTAAGTTCAAATAGATGCTGTTTTTCCAAAATATGAAAGAATCTTTCCTTATGTGCTCGGTCCCCTCAGTCCTCCACACTCTTGGTAGTCTGTATTTTGACTTCAGGGTTTGTGGGTAGTGTGTGCTGAACATCGGCAAGGTGGTACTGTTGCTTTAAGCCAGGAAAAACTGATATATTCTGACACTCTGGGAGGGGAGGGTTTTATGTTCTTGGGCTTTTTTGTCCCATCTACAAATGTTTTAATAGGTAGGAAAGGAGAACATTAGAAATAGTGCATCATTTAGGAAAATAATTTTAATTTCAATTTCCATTACTGCATTTTACCTTGAAACACTGTTGTACTGTCATGTTGTTGGGGTTTTTTTGGTTGTTGTTTTGTTTTGTTTTTTTAAATGCAAGAAAGATTAGCAGACTAGAAAACCTATCAGATCTAGGTGTCATTTAGGAGCTCAGAGCTGCAAAAATCCACAGGTTACTTAAAAGATGCCACTACTCAATCAGGGAGAGGGTTAGAGGAAGGGAAGAAATCCAAAGTCTCTTGTAGAGAAATGGGGAAATAACTTTGATTTTTGTCACATGCTGACAGCAAGTCCCACTGGTACTAACCAAGGAAGATGGAATAAAAATGACATGGCATAAGGTTACAGAGTGGGCCGTAATTTATTGATGACCTGGAAAGATCAGACTGAGTCAGGTTTGGACAAGGAGTTCCAGTGTAATTCCAGAAGTCTCTTAATAACGACTGTAGGTTTTTGTTGTTATTATTTCATATTCATATTTAATCATATAGCACATCACATAAATAATGCATAAACACCTATATATCTATTCAGACATTTAGAACAAATAAAACGTGGGTAAAATTTCCTGAGAAACTTTAGCTCTTTCCAAAAGTGTATTTTTTGGCTTCAAAGGACACCTTTGCTGTTCTCTCTGCTGTGTCCTGGCACGCTTTTTCTGTTTATGCCTGATACAAGTTGTAACTTCCTTTCTGTCATACACGGTGCTGCACTGTGGAGCCTTGTACCTTGTCATATGTAAGTGTTAGGGGCTTTGTAATAGTAGGGATTCTCCTGTGAAAAGTCACCTGTGAGCGAGTTACTTTGGATAAATGTTTCTTTAAACTTTGAGGATAATGGATTTTTCTACCAGGTACCAGATGCTTGGGGTTCAGGACTGAGTCAAATACTGAACCTTACTTTCATAGTTGACCTCTAATGCCTGCATATAAAAGAAACTGGAATCTTGAACTGTGTCTGTGTATAAAGCACTACTTTTAAAAGTCAGGTGGGAACCCTCGATAAACTCAGCAGATTCTTCAGCTGTGAATTTGTCTGGGTCTTGTACTTTAGGAATATATAGAATAAAAACCCCTGGTGGTGGTGTTCGTGGTGGGGAACGTTGATTAAACGTAATTTAGAACAAATCCTAAATGGGAGGGATAAGTAACGGGCACTTACAGGCACTCCCTGCAAGAAAGGTCTCCAGATGGTGAGGTTGGTGTTGCCAAACCAGAACACAGCATTTACCACTGAAAAAAAAGGTTCTGTCACCATAGCTACTGCATTCTCTAAGGTTGTAGCTGAGCAAAGCATGGAGGATGTTAGACAGGCTGATGCTTTATTGATATTCAAGTCACTGGCATTTGAGATGAGGAAAAGATCTCCAGTGCCAAAGCCTTTGGTCTAACTTTGAACAAATTTTCCTCTTACTTGCATTCATGTTATTATTAGTGGAGCTACACGAATATAAAGCAATAGAGAGAATAAAATGCACTCATTTTTACTCGCAGATTAGAGATGAATAGGAAATAAATCAGAATAAGCTAGACTTTCAGAGGTTCGCTGTGCAATCAAGTTTTGGGGTATTTATGCAAACAGGCATAGTCTTTCTGTGGGTAAATGAATACATGAGGAGCTCTGAGGTTGTTTACAGTGTACTGCTGTTAAGTAGTTGCTGAATGTATATATAGGTTTATATACCTGAATTACATACCTGAATTGTTCTATGCCACCAGATGAAAATCTGGCCTTACGATGAAAGTCTTAGGTACTTTCCTTTAGGCTTCTGCATTTAATTGAGTTCTCAATGGCACTAAACAGTAGGGAGTTTGAGACGTACACATTGAGCACTTTTCAAAGTGGGCCATTCATGGGGCTAAATATGGATTTTAAATTTTAAGACCCTTCTAATGTGCCTATCAATTAAAAAAGATCTAGTATTATATTAAAAGTTCATTTAGAAACGTTAATTCACAACTTCTGTTGGGAACTGATGTAGAAGTAATGATTCTTGCTGAGTTCGGTGTTCCAGGGATAGCATTACAGATTTTTTGCCCTTCTGAAACAAAACGTGCACATGCGCACACGCTCTCTCGATTCCGTTTTCTGAACTTTGTTGCAATTGTTAAATTATGTAATGATTTTCTCTGACTGAAGGGAAAATCAGGAAGTAAATAAAATATCGTTACTTCTCTGTATATAAATGCCTGAGAGCCTTAGTCAGAGATCAGATTGTTATGACACAGGGGCCTGTGAAAACCTAATTTATGAATAAATTGATGTCATGATAAATGAACCATAGTTACTCGGGTCTGCAGATCTAAGTTAGTAGGAGGACAGTATACAATGTGCCTCTATACCTGTGGCTTGTGGACTAGAGTATTGTAGCATCCTTTCTGTGTTCTAATCAAATGGATTTTGTACGTAAGGTTGGGAACCAAGTTTGCTTAAATTTTGATCATACAGCAGAAATACAAAAAAATTAGCATTTTGTGATTCCTAGGGAGACCCCTTCTTTCCGCTTTCTTCAGAATTTGGTCACCCCCTCCTGCCTTTGTGGTTTTTTCCTGACTTTTCACTGAATTTACCTGGGGAACCTATGAACTGGCAATAGAGAATTTGCATGACTCTGTGTCGATACAATTGCAGTGCCAATTACAATTACAATGCCAGTAAGCTGGTACTCACATCTCGTACTTTCCGCTTCACTTGGAAAATACACAGCCCCCTTCACCTGGGTTTATTTCCTTAGCCCAGTGTCAGTGATTTTTTCTTTACATTTATGATGTATTTGTTAACTTACTGCTGTGTTGTTGAAGACACTAGATCAACATCACCTGAATGATAGCACCCTGCCCATCAGTTGTCGCTGGCTTTCTCACCCTACTGCTGCCTGACATCTCTACCTGAGGAAAGCCGTGGGAATGCAGGGGAGAAAAGTCAGACATTTTGGTGGAGGCACTCGGTGAATATAAACTAATTTTCAAGACAGAACATGTGTTATGAAAAGCACGGCAACAGAAATGATCAATTGTCTTGAATCACAGGCAAGAGTGAATTTAGGAGGCCTTGTTGGAATGCCAAAGGGCATTGTTCTTTTCCTGTACCTCAGGAGGGTGAACTGAAAACTGCTGTCACAGTTTAATATATTTTAAAAATGTAAAGTGGACTTTTAAAACAAAATTCCAAAGTAATTACACTGTTGGTACCTTTGTTATTTATAAAAGTGCAGTATCTTATAGTAATCAAGAATGCTATCTCTGTCGGTTTGTTAGGGAAGTATAGAACAGAACTGGGAAATACCTCGTAAGTTTTGTGCACCAAAAACCGCTGTTGGCTTCGCTGATGAGTATGAGTGGGCATTTTCCCCAAAGCATGTTGCATAAGGGACCCGGGATTTGGCTGACATCAGCTGTCCCTCAGATCGTGTGCTCTTTCGTGCCTCCGCATGTAACGTTAATTTATGCTTGACAGGTACCATCCACAGTAGGGAGCAAAGTACCACCTTTGGTGGGAGTTTCACAAGACACGTGGCCTCCTGACGCTCCTCTCCGTGCCAGAGGGGCACATCTGCTCCTACGTACCCTAAAGGGTGATGAGTTGACTCCCCTCCACAGCTCCCCGGTTCAGCTGACTGGCTGCAGATCTGGGTGGAGCCAGGGAAATACTTGTTCTTCTGTTGTGACTAATAGTGTTCTGATCATTGCTCTTTTTTAAGTCCTTGGCGCTTTGTCTGCTGTAGCGTATCACACTGAAGAGTTTCCTGCAGCAGACTTTTTCACACCTTGCATTTCCTACAACTTCTCTCATTATGTTCTTCATCTCCTTCTCCAGTCTGAATCTTGATGCTAAAAGGATGTCCCCATTCTTAGTTCAGCACCCTTGAACATCTTCTGTTTCCTCCTGGAAATCAGTTATGAAGATAAAATTATATTAAAAAAAAAAAAAGTCTTCCAGTGTTCTCCTACTCTGTGCTGTCACGATTAAGCAGTGTCCTCCCAGCAGTCCTCGGTCCACACTTGCCCTGTGTCACAATATTTTAAGCTTTTAGGTGCACATAATATATCACAATCATCAATTTTTTTTTTCCCTGATACTGATGTGATTTGGGGGGATATACATGACTTATGAAAAGGGTATCATTAATATGCAGTGTAGTCACTTTGAGGGTGGGGGGCAGAAATGTGTCAAGTGACCTGTATAAATCCTTCACATCTTTTTTTAGTTTAAAAATTTCACATCATTCATAACTTTGTTTCCAAATGCTTTATGATTTAATAATTTCCATATGTCACATACAACTTTCTGAAGCTCTTCTGTAGACATTACCTAATTCATTTTAAAATCATCTTGGAAACATTGAGCTGAATTGTTCTACATGCACCATTTATAAATACATTTGCTGAGAGCTTTCTTTTCTTTTCTTCCTCTGACCAACTCCTTTTTTTTTTTTTTTTTCCCACTTTTCTGCCAGAATAAATGTTACTATGTACAGCACTAAGAATAGGAGCTTCTGGAGTAAAGATGACAAATAAAGTTAGGGGAAGGGGAAAGACATTATAAAATGCCTCAGCAAATCCCACTGCTGTTGCTGTTGAAAATACCCTGCTGTAAACTTTGCTGCTTCTTTTGGCATTTAATTTGAGGATTGATGAATCTGTCTTTGCAGACTGTAACAGAGAAGCACAAGCTAAATGTACCTGAGACAATGACTGAGGTCCTGGATGTTTCCGATGAAGAAGGTGAGCAGCTTTGCTAAGTTCCTATTCCATATCACTTACGTAACCTGTAACGTAGGCTCCAGATAGCTGCTTAAGTACTTTGACAACTTCGTTTTGCGGTGCCTGGGATGAAGTTCTGTGTAGGGGCCTTTTTTAAGTGATGGAGTCATTTTGGCATTGGAATAAAGGTGCCAAAAGTTGACTCAAACCAAAATCCTGGACCCCAACATCTTTTGTCAGAAAAAGCTTATCTGAACCAAATCAGCAAATGAGAACACTTCTTGACTTCAGGTTTTAAAATTTAAATGTAGAGCTGTTCCAAAGCTGGGTTTGACCCTCCCATAAAGAGCAACATGAGCAGTAAAGTTTTTGGATCGGTGCCACCTGTTTCAGATACATATCTCTTGGGGTTCTGCCTAATTGGAAACTTTTGTGTAAGAAGATGCATAAGGTGGAAGGTGAGGAGATAGTTCCCTTGAGGGAGCTTTTGGCACACACGAATCACAGATACGTACGGCATGACATAAAGTAACAACATGTTAACGAGTTTGGCGCTTTGGTTTCAGAGTCTATTGTATGTACAGGCAGGAGGCATATGCTGTACCGCTTAGCTAAGTCCCAAGAAAATTTGTGTGAACTTCTGGAAGGATTGATAAAGTACTGCTGTTTTATACAGCACAGAATTAAGGAAATAGCTTAAAAACATCCCTTTCTAAAAGTTCACAAATGCCTTCTGGCATCTGATAGTTATACGCACATTTGCAAGAATTTTCTAAGTTGTTTTTTACTCTTGGCAGTGTTAATTTCTATTACAGTACCTTACAGATGCCATTTTATGGTAATTATTATTTCATGGTAATAATTTGCAGAGTGACTAGTTTCAAAAAGTCCTAGCGGTTTAGGAACGCAGGTTACAGGGTTGGTTTTTTTTCTTTTACAAAAAAACCAGAAATGCACTTGTGGTTCTAAATGGTACGGGAAGTTGATTTTTTATTCCTGTTCCTAAACTGCTTGTATTCCTTTTTGCAATGGGATTGATGCTGATAAATGAGTTACACTCATGAGAAATTATGACCTGTAGGCTCCAGATGCTATTTTTTTTGGTAATGCTTGCAAAGCTGCAAGCGAAAACAAACAAGTGTGATTCAGAAGAAATTATTTTCTGATGCATCATGATCAGTGAAATTACTTCTCTCGGGTGTGTTTTTGCTACATTTTGTCTGTTTGAAAAACATTCAATCACTTGTGTAATTATTGTGATAAATGGCCTTTAAATTCCTTATAGCCTTATGTCTACTTTGTTGAATTTTCTCCCAATCTTTTGAAACAACCATTTAACAATCTTTAAATCCACAAGGCTTCTACAGGATTAATACAGGGTATTCCTCTTTCTCAAACCAATTTATATGTTGCACAGCCTTTAAACACTCTGACGATGAACGTTTCAGTGATGGTGAAGCATATAGTGGCACAGGTGCTGTTAGCAGAAGTTCGTGGAGTAAGACTTCCTAACTTTCTCTTTTTGTTTAACTCGGATTGTTTGTTTGGGGTTTTTTTGGTTGTGGGTTTTTGTTTTTGTTTTTGTTTTTTGTGTTGAAGCAACATGAATTTGCTTAATCTGGGTGCCTAACACTGGTCCGTTTCATTGCTTTTGAAGTGTGACTGGGTGCGTGTTCCCTGAAAGGTGGGAGGAAGAAGGGAAGCCAGAAAATCCCAGATTTATTACCTGTATCTTGAATATGTTGGCAGAATTTACTGTGGCCATCCAGCATGACTAATGCTCTCCAGTGCTTTGAATTAACATTCTCTGCTTTTGGTTACCATCTGACACCTACTGTTTGTTGATAGCCAGGAGACGGGCCGTCGGTCCTATGCACTATTTTTCCTGCTCCAGGTTCAGTACTGAGCGCTCATACTGATAGTGCCTCTGTGATCCTGCTGCAGGTTGCTAAGCAGGTCGGTCACAGGTAAAGCACTTCATGCTACTGTCCCTGTAAAATCTGTTTCTACAGACAAAACATTCAGGATGTTGCAACAATTCCTAACATGAATGGTACTTGTCACAGGAACTTAAAATAGCTGGGGGCGGGAAGACTGCAAAACTTTTTTAATAAAGAGGATGAACCTTTTAGTGATGGTGCAGTCTTTGTAAGAGGTTAGCAATAAGGTTTCTGTAGTGCTGTTTTCTTAACTGCTTTGAAGTGACACAATATTTTCTGAAATAAATTAATGTTACATGGTAAACCTGCCAGCTGGAATTATGCAATTGTAAAGTTGAACACGAGAAGAGTACTTGAGCAAATAAGTATTTCCTGTCCCGTTGTGGAGCTTGTTCATCACTGGCGATAATATTTTGCATTTTGCCTGGGAAGCAGTTACATTGCATAATTGTATGCTGTTACATTAATAACATAGAATTCATATTCCTAAAACAAATTCAAATGCAACATACAGTCCTAGCAGTATAAAATAAAGGACCGTGTAATCTGACAAATAGCCCAGCTTGGTATGTAAGGTCCTGCTCTGTGTAGCCTGTTCTGAGAGTCCCACTAATTTGTCTTTAATTTTCATTGTGTTTATGTTTAGCAATTGTATTATTGTTCAGAATTCTTTACCTTTTACCTCAAAAAACCCCAACCCTTCCTTTGAACAAGTTTGTATTGTTTAATTTAAAATTGCATTTGATTATTTGGGTTTTTATTTTTTTTTTTTTAAATGTGAATGCTGTTTTCTAGATGGTAAGTACCAGAGTTAAGTATGGA